GATACTTACACAGCATCTATCTATGCGATATCCCAGTACTGGGCACAAAGATTATGCCGAGTACGTTTCAACATCTATACATTGCATTATGCATTCAGTATTTTTTTATAACGTTCTAAGTATGAAAATGAGTGGTGATATATTGTAAATTTACTTAATTACTACCCGGGGCAAAGGAATTATTAGTAATGGAGATCTAACAGTCACATTGCTAGCAATATACCCTACCAAGTTGATCACCACGCAGTCCATCATCTTATCCAGTAATCATTTGTTTTTGTTATCTGAATTCATTCTCGCAAAATTCGTCACGATGGGCTAACTCAACTACTTTGATCTTCGCCTGTCATCTCTATATCGATAGTGCAGACGGAGTTACCATTCCATTGTTACCCATTGAAAAAAACTCAGTTACCACATAAATGGCCGTTATTACAACAAAAAAAGAAATGCTACTTACATAATTTTAATCGTTCGGGATATCCTGTTAGGTCTTGTGTCACGGGTGCACAATTTTCTTCCAGGTCAGATGATACTTTTGGGACGTGTCGAGTGTAAATGAATGGAAAGGGTGCCCGGGCGTGTTGGTGACTTATTATTAGATTGTAACTATCGGTTATACTAGCAGGATGTCGCTACAAGTGGATGATTACCGTGATTTGGATGTGTGGGTCTCATTCTCATTGGTTTGGCCTATTTATCAATATGTAAAAAATACAATGTACTATTCGTTTACCTTATCGATATATATACGATTATGATATGCTGTCGATCTTTACGCTATGTCTCTTGCAAGGTAGGCAGAGAGAACTTAGCCAAATCTTTACATACATATCTTGTTTGTACATTTACGTAGCTCGTTTCGATTTTGAGTCTTCTCTTTGAGAGAACATGGTCTGTTTGATAGAACTGTTGTGGCCAGAAAATAAAGATAAGTTAATAGTCCTTTATCTCTAAGACCTGTTCAGATGATGCTATACAGGTTCAGAAAAGGCGGGGAGCAGGGTGGGCCGTGTCTACCACAGGATAGAAGTAGAGCAATATGTGTAGGGTTGCCATATGATACTTTTGATTTTTAACCAAATGTGAAGTTTTTTTTTTTCTTGAAATTGATAAGGCTTCTCTCAATTTTACCCTCTGAAACACTTATGTCCATTTTGACTACATCGCTACGCGAATCACAAAATGAAAGGCAATAATTTAATATTGTGTTCCATAGAAAAAACTGATTTCAATTATGGCAATACCAATTATTATGATTTAAAAACTAAACTACTGAACCGATTTTGATAAAATTTATAAAGGATCAGATAAAAATTAATTTAAAACGAACAAATTTTTTTATCTATCCATAAGTGACGGAGTTATGAGGTAACAAACGTAAAAAAAATACAATTGAGAACTTCCTTCTTTTTGAAGTCACTTGATAATAAAGGCCGCCTCCCTCGTTCATTATCTCTTTTTGTCTGTTTGCTACCTTTATGTAATGAGGTGTAATAGTCCCAATACACCGGGTTCATTCAGGTCTACTGGTTTCCACTGCAAATCGTGGTTAAATATTGTTAAATTCGTCACGAGGGGCCAACTAGCTTGCTTGGGGGAAAGGGATTGTTAGTAATAGAGACTGAAAATCCCATTGCTAGCAATATACCTAACCAGGTCGACCTCCACGCGATTCCCTCTGGAAACTATCATAATTAATTCCTGATGAATTCATCATGATAGGCTAACCGACCTGTTTTCATTCTCATCGATTCACTGGTGCTTCGCCAGCGTATTCCGTTAGCGCAGGCGAAGTTACCAATCCATTTTCATCCAACAAAATAAAACTGGCTTGCTTTAACCTATCACCTTTAATTAGTACTCCGCCGGCGCATACCGACTCGTTTTGAAGAAGTGAGTTGGCATATCCAGCGCCGTGAATTTAGTTAGCACAATTGTGCGGCGTAGCGCAGTGTTGCCCGTGTCTCACACAGTGTGCTTTTTAAGGTGCCAGACCATCCCTGGAAAATAATCTCTAATAAACCAATGTGTGACGTTCATATTGCTTCATGTAGTCCCAAATATTTTAGATAACTGATAGACCGTAAATATGATCAGTTATAAGTTGTTTGTATTGATCTAGGTGTATTTAAATAGTCATAAATATGAATATTTTTATTGTGTAGTTATCTAACTTCGATCCCTTTAAAGTAGGTTTTTTTAAAGGAGGTTCGCGGATCCCTTAGGGGTTCGTAGCATCTGTATCAGGGATCCGCAGTAGGTCAGTTAACTGTAAATTTATTTATTAGGAACTTGTGTAATAACTCGACGAGACGCATCGTCGTCGTCAAGCGTCAAACAGCAGCATCCTTCTTATTAAATTAGTAGTAAGTGTAATGAAACTATTAGGTTTTTTTTAAAACCATATAAAAAAAAAACCTTTTTTTATTTTCCTAAGTTTCTAACTAAATCTAACTAAAATGTTTTTTGACAGGGATCCGAGAATTGTCTAAACTGTGAAAGTGGTCCATGACTGTAAAATGATTAAGAAACCCTGTTTTAAAGTTTAGTTTATGTATTAAATATTTTTAGTTTCAAAGTTTCTATCGCATAGGTTAGGTAGATAATGTAACTGTTTGACATGTCTATACATTACTACATCATCATCATCATATCAGCCCTTAACTGTCCACTGCTGAACATAAGCCTCCCCTTTAGGGGGTTATGCCAATAGTTGCCACGCTTGGCAGGCGGATTGGCAACCGCAGTCAGGGTTTAGAGATGTTTTAAGAGGGACACTGCTGCCCATCCCTCGCCGTCCTTTAGTCGTCTTTAACGACACCAACGGGAAAAGAAGGGGTGGCCTATTCTATGCCGGGACCACAAAGTCGTTACTATATAGTTAAGTAAAAAGTATATTGTATATTCTAAGAAACCTGTCAATAATACTAATACCGTAAATGCAAAAGTTTGTTTAGGTGTTTGGATATTCAGGTGTTTGTATATTTAGTCAGTCACAACTCAATCACAATTAGAATCAGCTAGTCAGTGAATGTAGGTGTTTCAGGACCGTTCTTTATGGCAATCTATGGGGGAGGAGGCCTATGTTCAGCAGTGGACAAATAATGTCTGAAATGATGACGATGATGAATCACAACTAGACGCTGGACGGATTTGAATGAAATTTGGTACACGCGTAGGTTATATCCTAACTTAGCATATAGGATACTATATGTACTGAATCCCGCGGGACATAGCTAAAATAATATAGTAAAATTTCTTTAAGTAACAACACAAATAAGATTACTTATGACAGTTAACACTTAGGATACTTTATTGATTCACGCGGGTAAAACCGCGGCAAATACGAGTAGATAGCTAGTGTTAACAATATTTAAAAATTTAATAATTAAAATTATGAATCTCTTAATTATATATTGATATATATATATATATATATATATATATATATATATATATATATGTCTATATTTCAATATATAAAAAGATACATAAAAATAGGTATAGACGATGTTTTTATACCTCTTTGTTTGGTAATAATGCAAATCAGACTAATTATTCCTGGCCTTGTAATCACTGAAATAATTTAGCAAAAAAATTATATTGACTTTATAGGACAGGTTTGGCGCGCTATAAATTTTTTCGGAAAGATTTTTTTTATAGACTGATGTATCTTTTATAGGTTACTGATATAGGCACATAGGCTGTGATAAAGTTATATCACAGGCATCATTATTTTGCTAATTTGAATAATATCATATTATTCTCGTAGAAATAAAAAATAATCCACATTGACGTTGACACTTTTTTTCATATAATTATTTTTTTATTAAATCTCATGTCTACGACCGAGTAATCTCTTATAACGACTTGTTTCAATTTGTGTTTTTGTTATCTTGACAAAACCTCACGTTACTTTTTGTATTTAATTTTTTTTATATATCTACTTTTTTATAATACAGAGGGCAAACGAGCATGCTCATCTGATGGTAAGTGACTATCGCCGCACATCAGAGGCATAGCAGGTGTGCTGCCGGTCTTTTGAAAAGCAATGTGCTTGTTTTTTGAAGGTCATGATGTCGTATCGGTTGAGAAATACTGCTTTTGGAAGTTAATGCCAAAGAACGATTGTGCGTGGAAGAAGTGTTACGGGTTGTCTAGCAAATAAAAGGAACATTTACTAGTTTAAATCGATATAATAGATGAACTGCCTAATAGCTTAAACTACAACTTAAGTCTATGTTTGACTAAAACTAATTTTACATGCTGTCTCCTGTCACAGCCTGATCTTCTTTGTACTTACATTTTATTGATGATATTTATTACTCCACTACCCTGTGACTACATTGATAGCTAAATATTTACGAAGTGGATAGACCTTCCAAATGACGAATAGTTCCCTAAAACTCTCATGCAATTATGTACCGTAATTAGTGCCTTGAAAAACGCGTGAAATACCGTCTCACTCTATTGAGCACTCCTAACTTTTTGGAGGTCAACTAAGCTTTTTCCTTTAGATGATTGCAAAACTAGACGTCGTTGGATATATCAACGCCAAGGATCCTTACATTCGACTTATTATCAAGGGCAGTGCCTTGAAAGTTAGGAGATACGACAAACGGGGTTTTTTGTTGCGGTAAATGCGCAGACATGTGTCTTCTTAGGGTTGAATAGTACAAGATTGTGCTCGCCCCAGATCGAAACTTGATCGAGTGAAGTTATCTACTTGAAGAATTTTTTTGTAATGATATCTAACAGTCTCATTGATAGCGATATACCTTATGAGATCGACCACGTGATTCTCCCTTGAAACCATCGAGTTAACTCATATGGAATTCGTCATGATGGGCTAACTGAATTGTTTTCATCTTTATCTATCATCTCTCATTGGTCACCGGCTAGTGCATAACAATAACGCAGGCAGGGTTACCATTCCATTCTTATCCATTAATGTAATAAAATAGCTACACTTGGAAATTTATGATGTAGTCATACATTAACAGGATTTCTGTAAATTCCAAGGGAAGAAGAGACAATGAAAATTTATGTGGGTGAAATCGCACTAAATCGCTATAATAATAAAACAAAAAAATTACAATACACTTATATTTTAATCAGTTTAAAACAAATCAAATTTTTATACAATAAGAATAAAATTCATATTACTTTCTAATACAATAAAAGAATACTTTTAGGCGGGATAGCGCCACTTCCCGGTCGGTATATCACTATGGTAGAACTTGCATTTTAATTTATTACTGCAGGCTTTCCCGTAGCGGCACGGCTTCGGATGGTAGTAGTGGCAAGCGGTGTTCAAGCAGTTCGGGTAGTATTTACATGCTCTGGACACGACACCTGGTGATATTGACTTGTAGTTCGCCGTAATTGTTCGTGCGGGAACAACGTGGGACGCTGTGAAAATCTATTTTAATTAGAATCAATAAAAAATTGATTAAAAAATAAATCGTTATATATACAGGAGAAACCTAAGATCTGCTTTCACAATTTCGTAAAACCCTGTACCTGTACATATATACTACTCTATGAGTGACGACCTTTACTGTACGAATAAACTGTAGTGACAATATCCAATGAATTGCAGGAACGTTCGAATTAAGACAGCCGCAGCGAGTGTAGTAAAGTATGTACAATACAAAGTATGTAAATACCTATCATTATGTAGTAGCGTTGGTTCAGATACAGGTGTCCTTTTTATTTTCAAGAATTATCATTGCCTTGCCTTTTCCCAGCACAGTATGCCTTATTCTTCCACAAATCTCTGTCAACTGTCATTTCAGGTCTCACTCCTATTTTCTGCATATCATCTTTCATATTTACATCCATCAACTTTCATATTTAACATTTTCTTTAATTATTAATTTGAGCTGTGACCTTAGAAATTTGTGAAAACCTACAACAAGACAACCCTGATACGTGCGGTGTTACGTGTACGTGAGTGATACTCACCAACTACGGGCGATGCAGCTGCATGCAGCGGTTGCAGCGGCGCCTTGTGTGGGTGCGAGTAGAGACAGCCGCGGCGAGTGCAGGCGGCCGCGAACTTGCAGCGCGGATGCTGGAAAGCGCACGCGGCTCCGTAGCGACACAGAGGGAATAAACGGCACCAGACTGGTTTGCGCTTTGCTTGTGATACTGTAGAACAAAATTGTGTATTAGACTTCTTTTTTCATTACAGAGAGTAAACAATAGTAATAACTGGATGGGTTTATACTATTAAAACAGTGATTGTAATTAAAGATTGTCCAATAAAAAAAACTGGCATGAATTTGACATAATCAGTTATATTGATCTAATAACTACTGAAATGAATTAAAATTTTATTTCGGAAATCAATTTAGAGAAATGGCGCTTCAAAATTTATACCCCATTATTATAAATTTATAGTGAATAAATGAATACGAAATAGTAAACAAGACCAATAGCTAATGATAATAGTTATACTCACATGATGATGTTGAATCATATTTATGCGTACTGCCAATCGTTACGGTCACATCATCTTTGCTATGTATCCTCTCTTTCACCCGCTCCGGTTCTTTCTCTTTTTTTATAATATCAAACACAATGGGAGACGCTCTTCTTTTCTTAATTGCTGGAGTGTCTTCTTTGAGGGACTTTGGCATCTCAGTACATTTACGTTTTGTGGTTGATTTCTGTTCTTCCGTTTTAATTGTAATCTGCTTTGATTTGCTTTCACAACTTGTCTCGCTTAAATGCTTTTTCACTAGCGGTCTCCCTTCCACTTTATCAGGTTTCTTAGATTTTTCTTTGGGTTGTTCTTTGACTTGTGTTTTTAATACTGTCAGTGTGTCTTTGGTCTTATTAATTTTATCGCCTACGTCGCTAAGTATCCCCTTTGTCATTAATTTCTTTGCGAGAAAATCGTTTGGATGGTAGCGATCTATTATAGCTATGAACCCAGTGTTTTTGTCTTTGCCAACTGTAGGGTGGTGAATATTGCTGAAATAAAAAATAAAATCATTATAGATCTGGAAATTAATTAGTAAATTTCATTTTTAAATTTACTTATTAATATTAATAACAACAATACTCGTTGAAGAACTGCAATTAGGATTTTATTATTCTATGCATATTTTATTACACAGCATCATCAAGAATATATCTTAAACTTAAATGATTGGATACAGTATGGTATCAGAGATAAAATTAAGAGTTTTCAATTTTTGCGTTTCATATTAAGCTTAAGCTTATTATTAAGCTTTTACCCGCAACTTCGTCCGCGTGACAAGGATATTTTAACTGACCGAGAAAAAAGTATTTGGTGGTGTTTTAAGAGGGATTTTACTGGCCATCCCTTAACCTTTAAGTTCCCTTAGTTGCCTTTTTATGACACCCACGGGATAGGGACGAACCACAAACATTGTTAATTACGTAATATTTTTTACCAGATCGAGACTGGACCAAGATCTGACCGAAACCTGCACTACAGTGTGGATCTGGATATACTCAAGAATACAAATGTTTGTGCTGTGTGGAAATAGAATCCGCAACGCAATTAAGAGGTAGTATGGTACGCTACATATATCTACTTATTTAAAAGAATGGTGGTTTACTCACTTATCATCATTACTGCCCACTCTGCCTAAACTAATGTTGTCACTGTTGCCAATCTGCGTATTGCTGCCAGGAACTTGAATGGCAATTTTCTTTGCGTCTACACATCGGCGCATCGACAGCACTAACGCTTGCTTTACTATTGACGGCTCCGGTTTCACTTTGGGCGGTATCTGTAGAAAGATTGTAATAGTTAGTGACAAAGTAAGATTTTGTTCCACAAAGAAAAAAGTCCTTTACTTATTACGAATTAGAAAACTTAGTAGGTATGAGATTGGTGCGGGAATAAAAAATAACTTGTTTCAGAACTGCCTATAATATCGTATAACATACAACAAAATAAAAAATCAGAACTTTCTTTATGCAACTTAAAATGACTGCAAGCCCACCTGATGGAAAGTAGTAACTGTCGCCTATAGACATAAAAATTTGAAATATTGAAAATTTTAATGAAAATCATCAACAACCAGAAAAAAAAAGATATTATAGAAGAATGGTACTCAAAGTGTAACTGCGGGTTGGCAGTGTAACCGCAGTTAGACTTTGATGATGTTTTAAGAGACGATACTGGCCATCCCTCCACTATTAAACTCATAAGGGGCAACTACTTCTTATGATACCCACGGACACGGAAAAAGTGGCCCAATTTATACAGGAATCGCATAATTAAGCTATGCGATTCCGGCATAGATTGGGGCAGAACATTCGGATGTAGTCACAGCTAAAAGCTAATCTTGTATAAATTAACAATTATTAAAATTATAAAATGAGTTTCAAGATTATATAAGTTTAAATATGTTACTTACTTGAAATACATCTTCAGCAAAATCATTTTTCAATTCTTCAGCTTCAGTCTTTATATTTAGAAAGTCCTCATCATCTAACATAGAGTCTAACTCCTCATCATTTGACATAGAGTCTAACTCCTCATCTATCTTCTTTTTTAAGCCTCGGATTTTAGCTTCAATTTCGTTTATCTCTTTTATTTGCTCATCTCTTGGTGTTTTTACTGAAAACACACTAGCTCTATTAGGCACTTCTTGACTTTCATTAGTTGCCACGGTTGAGTCTGGCGCAACCTGAGACGAAATTGTAGCGGGGTCAATTATAGGCAAAATAGGGCGTTTCAACTCTTCTATAGTAGGTTTCTTATCCACTTGTGTAGATTCCTCCTTCAGACTCTCTAGACTAATTCCATGGTTTTTCAAAATTTGCCCAGCGAACACATCTGTTGTAGAGGGTTCCGATTCTTTCTTCATGTTCATTAACAAAGGTGGCACATTAAGTCTAGTCATCTCGTGATGTTTACTCTTTTTCTTGCTTTTCTTCTCTTCTTTTTTGCGGTGTACCTTTAAATATTATAAATGATAAAGTTTGTAAATAAGGATAGACGGCTGAGTATTTGTTATGTAAAAGCTACTGAACAGATTTGAATAAAATTTAGCATACGGGTACATATGGGATACTTTATGTAGGAATTCACGAGAGCAAAACAACGATATACAGCTAGTAAAAATATGATTGGACAGAAACACCCATATACAGAAAACATATAGATAATATATGTTAAATTTTTGTAAAAATTATTCATAAAATACATGAAATTTATTGATCAACATTAACAGTTGACAAGACATTTAGTAGAAATTATAAAATTGTAATTGCTCTAAATATTTTTGGTAGTGTATTCATACACTAATATTCTAAAACAATTGCACGACGATTCACATATATAGTATGATTCAGGTTACGATATTTAAATCAAATGATAATATATAAAATAATAAATGGACCATTCAAAAACAAAAATACAAATTAGTTTCAACAAGAAATTGCTATGAAATTGTTATAGTTAGCGTAAATGGGCTCAAGTGTTCTATAAAACAAAAAAAAAAAAAAAAAAAATAAAGAAAACAATACATACTTTTTACTTGGTGCAGTAACAGTGACTTCTTGCAGTATTTTGAGCTCTTGATGCAACTAGTTCACATATAACTCTGTGACAACACACGAATAACTAACTACAGGTCGCCTTCCGTTTGTGTTCTGATACCTTTATTAGCAATCATCCCCATTATATAGTCTGGGAGTTCATCGTCTAATGAAGTTTTAATTAGATAATTTCATAAGTAAATAGTAATTTAAAATATAAATAGTTATAATAAAACTATTAGTAACAGTTACATAATACAAGGAGTATGGTAATTAGGGGGCGATAAGGAGAAGCAGCGTAATGGTTTATTAATTTATGTCATTGTCCAATGTAGTTGCTAATGGGCGAAATTAGCATTGTTAATGCAAATATGGAATTGGCAATAATAACCCTAATTATCTCTATAATGTATACTAATATTACTCAAAACTCAGGTTACATGTAAATTTCCATAACTAGTGACGTAATTTTTAAAATATTTGTGTCTAGTATTATCTAATTCCTTAAAATTATTTACTTCAATTTATATTGTATAATTATGTTAAAGCAAATGCTGTAAATACCTTTAAAAGGCATGTGCATTAATATTGTATTGTATTAAATGTTTGTTATATGCGTTATAATGCAATATGTTTTATTAAATAAATTAGGCTTTATTAAATATTGAAGTTGAGAAAATTTCTATGTTCATAATCCAAGTTTACACACCAACAGAAAATGCTAAACGTGAAAAAAAAAAATAGGTAACTTCTACAACGATTTAAGAAAAGTCCAATAACTCTCAGATAATTTTTTTATTAATAGGCTATGGTAACCGCTTACCATCGGGTGGGGCATATGCTACTACGGTAGCAAACAAGTGAAATTTTTTTTCAAAGCAGTGATATTTTCTGTCACGCCTGTATCCCATTAGGTTTGGCAGAAACAATGGAACTCCAAATGCTTCAATTCAAACAAACCTCTTTTTTTTAATTTCTTTATCATAAAGCCTTATTTATATTTTATTGTAAATAAAATATACATACTTCCATATATATATATATATATATCCGGGTCCGTGAAATTGTCTAAATTGTGAAAGTGGTCCGTGATTGCAAAATGTTTAAGAAACCCTGTTTTAAAGTCTAGATTAGGTATTAAATATTTTCAGCTTGTAAGTTTCTATCGCATAAATAAATAAATATAGATATATCTAAAACGTATATCTATATTTCAATATATAAAAAGGCACATAACAATATAGACACAGACGATGTTTTTATACCTTTTTCTTACAGTGGTAATAATTCAAATTAGACTATTAATCATGGCCTTGTAGTCATTAAAATAACATATTATAATATTGATGAATAATAGAATGAATTTACAAAGATAGCTAATTATGTAATTAGCTTAACAATAGTGAATATATAATGTGTATGTATGTGTGTATCTATGTAGTATCGTATGTGTGAGCGCATAGATATATGTTGTAACATAATTACCATAACTATAGTATTGTATTAGGTTATAATACCTGTAAAAATAGATAAGTGTAAATTGTTTAGCAAAAAATTATATTGATTTTAAAGGACAAGCTTAGGGCGCTATAAATTTTTTCAGGAAGATTTTTTTTATAGACTGATGTATTTTTTATAAGTCATTGATATAGGCACATAGGCTGTATTAAAATCATAGCACAGGCATCAATGTTTTGCTAATTTGACTAATATCATGTTCTATTATTATATATTATAGAAATAAAAGATAATCCACTTTAACATTGAAACTTTTTTTATATTTTTTATTAAATCTTGTGTCTACGACCGAGTAATCTCTTACAATGACTTGTTTGAATTTTTATTATCCTGACAAAATTTCATGTTAGTTTTGTCTTATATTTTTTTTTTTACAAATTATCTACTTTTTTTTTATAACACAGGGGGCAAACGATCATGCGGCTTACCTGATGGTGACTACCACTGCTGTAATCACTCGCTACACTAGAGGCATTACAGAGATCGAGTGAAGTTATCTACTTGAATAGGTAAAAAGGGATTGTTAGTAATGAGGTCTAAACAGCCTCATTGCTAGCATTATGAAGTCGACCATGCGGTTCTCCCTTGAAACCATCGTGGTTAATTCTTATGGAATTAGTCACGATGGGCTAAGTGACCTGCTTTCATCCTCACCTATCATCTTTCATCGCTGACGCGCCAGCGCATACCAATAAAGCAGGCAGGGTTATCACTCCATTCTAACCCATTAAAGTAATAAAATAGCTACTCGGAAATGAATGACGTAGTCATCCTTTAAAAGGGTTTCTAGAATTCCTAAGGGAATAAGAGACAACGTGTTGATGCGAGTAAAATCGCGCTAAACTGCTATAACAATGAAGCAAAAAATTACAATACACTAATATTTTAATCAATTTAAAACAAGTCAAATTTTTATACAATCAGAATAAAATTCATATTACTTTCTAATACAATAAAAGAATACTTTTAGGCGGGATAGCGCCACTTCCCGATTGGTAAATCACTATGGTAGAAATTGCATTCTAATTTATTATTGCAGGCTTTCCCGTAGCGGCAGGGCTTCGGATGATAGAAATGGCAAGCGGGGTTCGTGCAGTTCGGGTAGTATTTACACACACTGGGCACGACACCTGGTGATATTGACTTGTAGTTCGCCGCGGGAACAACGTGGGACGCTGTGAAAATATATTCTAATTAGAATCAATGAAAAATGGATAATCAAATTGTTTTATGTATACAGGAGAAATTTAAACTGTCAACTGTCATTTCAGGCTCACCCCTGTTTTATGCATTTATTTATTTATATTTTTGTTTTTGGTAACATAAAAATTTTGCGTAGGGAAAAAAATTTTACACTATTAATGAATACTAACACTAGTTTTAAAGAATGGTTTACGTTAATTGACATGTTGTATACATAAATTTGAAAAATTCAATTTTAAGGAACTCCCGACAGCAGTTAAGTGTCGTTTGATTGAGCTGTGACCTCAGAGGTTAGTGAAAACCTACAACAAGACGACCATGATACGTGCGGTGTTATATGTAAGTGAGTGATACTCACCAACTACGGGTGATGCAGCTGCATGCAGCGGTTGCAGCGGCGCCGTGTGTGGGTGCGAGTAGAGACAGCCGCGGCGAGTGCAGGCGGCCGCGAACTTGCAGCGCGGATGCTGGAAAGCGCATGCAGCTCCGTAGCGACACAGAGGGAATAAACGGCACCAGACTGGTTTGCGCTCTGCTTGTGATACTGTAGAACAAAATTGTGTATTAGACTTCTTTTTTCATTACAGGGAGCAAACAATAGTAATAACTGAGTAGGTTTTTTTTATGGGTATGGTAACGGTAACTTCGCCTGCGCTAACGGAATACGCTGGCGGAGCACCAGTGAAGGGTGATAGATGAGAATGAAAACAGGCCAGTTAGCCCATCATGATAAATTCATCAGGAATTAACCATGATAGTTTCCAGGGGGAACCGCGAGGAGGTCGACCTGGTTGGGTATATTGCTAGCAATGGGATTCTCAGTCTCCAATACTAACAATCCCTTTCCCCTTACTGGGTAGGTTTATACTATAATAATCTTTAAGAATATGCCCCACAAATAGACTTCAATTGTGACATAACGAGTTATTATGATCCAAAAACTAAACTATTGAACTGATTTTGATAAAATTCCTTTATTTACATAAAAAAAAAGAACTTTCCAAATTGGTTGAGAACTGATAGAGTTATGAAGGTAACAAACACAAAAAATAAACCTATATTATAAGTAAGAACCAGTTCATATTGGTCCTTAAAATAAAGATTTCGCTGTTACATGAAATTGAAACGTTAATTTTAAAGGTAAATTCAGGGAAATAGTGCCTCAGAATTGACCCCACTTTTATAAATTTATCTATACTTATAATATCTTATAATCTGTAGAGAGGTCAATTCTGTACATGAAATATATTTCCAAAATAACTATCAGGGGGTGATTAGTGATCGGTACTGATGCTAAAAATACAATTTTGTCTGTCTGTCTGTATGTTTGTTATAGAAACAAAAACTACTCGACGGATTTTAGCTAAACTTGGTACAATTATTCTTCATACTCCTGGGTAGGTTATAGAATACTTTTCATCACGCTACGATCAATAGGAGCAAAGCAGTGAAGGGAAATGTTGGGAAAACGGGAGAAGTTACTCCTTTTTTAAGCTTCCGTCGTGTGTGCAGCCTTAATGGCCACTTTTTAAAATGTAAAAATATCCACCCGTGCGACGCAAGGACGGGCCGCTAGTAGTGAATAAATGAATATGAAATAGTGAACAAAACCAATAGCTAATGATAATGGTTATACTCACATGGTGGTACTGAATCGTATTTATGCGCACTGGCAGTCGTTAAGGTCACGTGATTTTCGCTATTAGGGCTATCTGTCCTCTCTCTCACCCGTTCTGGTTCTTTCTCTTTCTTTTTAACATCGAACACAATTGGAGATGCTCTTCTTTTCTTAATTGCTGGAGTGTCTTCTTTGAGGGGCGTGGGCATCTCAGTAGATTTACGTTTTGTGGTTAATTTCTGATCTTCCGTTTTAATCGCAATCTGCTTTGATTCGACTTCACAGCCCATCTCGCTTAAACGCTTTTTCACTACAGGTCTCTCTTCTACTTTTTCAGGTTCTTTTGATTTTTCTTTGGGTTGTTCTGTTACTTGTGTTTTTAATACTGACAGCGCGTCTTTGGTCTTATTAATTTTATCGCCTACTTCGCTAAGGATCCCCTCTGTCATTAATTTCTTTGCGAGAAAAGCGTTTGGATGGTAGCCGTCCATTGTTACAATGAATTGAGTACTTTTGTCTTTGCCAACTGTTGGGTTATGAATATTGCTGAAAACAAAAAAAACAATCATTATAAATCTGGAAATTAAATAGTAACATTTAAAAAGATAACAACAATATTTGTTGAAGAACTATAATTTTATTACTTTTATGCATATTTTAGTGCTCAGCATCGTCAAGAATTCATCTAAAACTTAAATGGTTGCATACGAATTTATATTTGTTAAGTCGTTAATGCTCTAACAGGTAACAAAGAAATAAACTCATTTTCACATTATTAATATTTTTAAGTATGAGGATTATAGTTTTTTTTTTATGCAACTTAAAATGGCAAACAAGATGACGGCCCACCCGATGAAAATTGGTAACCGTCGCCTATAGACATGAGCAGTGCCATGGACATAACAGATTATTGGATTTTAACAATACAGTGACATATAACTCACGTAGGAGCAAACAAACATAAAGAAATGGATAATAACTCACATGCTGTCTATAATAAGTTCTTCTTTCGCCCCACTGCTCTTTCGGGTCTGGTCTGTTCGCGATGATAAGTAGTCATTGTTGATGATTTTCTTTGTGATTTTTGTTGGAACATACTCGTCTTTATCTACGTCGCTCGTTGCCCTGAGAAAAATATTGAAATTAATTATTCTAAACAATTACTGGATAGCGCCATCTAGTGTTAATAACCTAAACAAGACACTAAGGTACTCGACAACTGACTTACTTTTTTTTTTTAATTGCCTATATTATACATAAAAATTAAATAGCATAAACAGTATGTTTGTATAGGTCTGAATTTATCTACAATAGACACTGATAGACACTTTTGTACACACATGTACATCATACACAGTAAACACCCAGACTAATCCAAACAGATAAAGGCCGGATCCAGACTACAATGCCAGTTTCGATTCAATCTCAGTAAGGACACTACAACCACCTCGAGATTGATTGTGACTGGAACGGAACAAGATTGGACTGTTGTATGAATACACATATTGTTTCATCATTTCAGCCGTTAACTGTCCACTGCTGGACATAAGCTTTCTCCTTATGGAGGGGTTTTGTTAGTAGTTACCACGCTTGGCAGGCAGTTTAGCAACCAGAGATAGGCCTTGGTAGTATTTTAAGAAGGATAGTGCTGCCCATCCCTCTTTTAATTCCCTTAGGTTTCCTTAGTCGTCTCTTACAACACCCATAGGATAAAAAGAGGTGCCCCATTCTATGCTGGGACCACACATATTGTTTATTACGTAATAATATTTTACCAGACCGAGACCAGCAGAGGAATGCATTGTACAAAAGTTGTTTGTTTGGGTACCTCTATCCCATTCGTGTTTCAACCGTAAAGCAGTTATGTTTGCATGGCTGTTTCTGTTTGAAGGGTGGGATATGGCAGTGAATTTACAGAGTACAGAGGAATAACACCTGAGTCCTCAGGAATGAATGTATCATGGGCGAAACAGTATACTCTGTTATGTCCATGGTACTGCTCATGTCTATAGGCGATGGTTACCACTTTCCATTAGGTGGGCCGTCAGCTTGTTTGCCATTCTAAGTTGTATAAAAAAAGCATTACAGTGTAAATCCCACCATACTCAAGAATACAAATTAAGGGGTGTGGTAGTATGGTACGCTGCACCATTGGTTCGTCACCACAAATATCTATTTATTTAAAAGATAGGTGTCACTGGTCAACGGTGTCAATACTCACTTGTCATCATCACTGTCCACTCCACCTAAACTAATGTTGTCACTGTTGTCAACCCGCGCATTGCTGCCAGGAACTTGAATGACAATTTTCTGTGCGTCTACACATCGGCGCATAGGCAGCACTAGCGCTCGCTTTACTACTGACGGCTCCGGATCCACTTTGAGCGGTATCTGTAGAAAGATTGCAATAGTTAGTAACTAAAATTAAGATTTTGTTCCATAAAGAAAAAAATTCCATCACTTATTACGAACTAGAAAACTTAGTAGATATGGGATTGATGCGGAAATGAAAAATAACTCGTTTCAGAGCTACCTATGATATCGTATAACATACAAAAAAAAAAACAGTCTTTATTTGTATGCAACTTAGAATGACTGCAAGCCCACCTGACGGAAAGTGGTAACCGTTGCCTATAGACATAAACATATGAATAAATATTGAAAATTTTAATAAAAGTCATCAACAATCAGAGAAATTTAAAGAAATTATTGCTTGTATGCCTCTTATTTGTATATTATCTTTAGTTAGTTAGTTTGTGTTCTATCAAGTGATCAGAAATTCAATTAATCAATTTTGTTTGCATGCAAAGTTCCGCTTTAAACAAAAAAGTCTTGACTTTTTGCACATTGCCTTTTTTTTAATATACATTTATTATTTGTACACATTAACAACAGCTACAGTATATAAAGTAGAGACAACAGAATAGGTGTATAGGTTCTATAGGATACTCACGTTGAGTAGGCTCTTGTGTGCGTCGGCGACGGCCCGCAGCAGCAGCGCGGGCGCAGGCGCCGGGCCGCGCGGCCGCGGCCGCACGCGACCCACGCTGGCGCAGCTCGTGCAGCCCGACCGCGGCTTGTTCTCCAGCACCGACACCCTGCACATCAAATGTATTATGACACCTGCAATGACAATTGGGCTAACGGCCTTCCTGATGAACAGTCGTAATTGTCACCTATAAAAAGGAACAGCACCACGAATTGCACAGAGTATACTATGATGCCCTTGCTCTTTGTCATGTGTTGGTATTTCTGAGGACTGTGGTGTTATTCCTCTATTTGCTGTAACCTTGACTCCCATATTCACCCTTCAAACTATAACAAAGATCTAGGTTTGGGACACAAGTACTATCTACTACTCTATACCTAAGCACTTTTGCACAAAGATTTGATAAAGTTGAAAACTTTATTATAATTTTTTTATGAAAGATTTGTTTATACAAGAGATCAGAATAGTGTTTTTTTTTTTAAGTAGATAATTGCTCCTATATGAAGTGGAGGTGGAAGATTAATTATCTTGTTATTCCATATTCCTTCTCCAAAAGATCAAAAGTGACTTACTTTGACGTTAGCCTCTTCGAGCTTGACTCTGTTTTATCAGAAGTGTTCTCAGATGCTGAGCTTCTCTTTTGTGGTTCTGGCAGTTCACCTAAACGACTCTTGGCCGATTTACTCGGAGGACGGAATTCTGGCTCTCTTTCTGGGGTGAACCTGGAAAATTACATATTTTATTATTTATATACAAATAAAAAAACTGATAAATATTGAGAGTGGCTAGATAAGGTTCCTTTTAAATAATCGTGAAGACTTCTAAGACGAGAAATTCGAAAAAGTTAAAAACATAAATACCCAATTTTTCTTTCTTTCATTTCAACCGACTTCAAAAAGAAGAAGGATCTCAACTCTGTCATATTTTTTTTTTTATGTTTGTTACTTCATAACTCCGTCATTTCTAAAATGATTTAGAAAATTCTTTTTTATCTGAAAGGATATACTTACAATTTTGTCCCATAGAAATTTTATCAAAATCGGGTAAGTAGTTTAGTTTTAAACCAAAACAATTAGCTTTGTCACAGTCAAAAACGGTTTTTATGTGGGATATAATCTACAGTATATTTTTGACGTGGCAGTGTACTAATAAAGTTCAGCTCATTTCGGTGAAATTTGATACTATTTGTAATGTTTTTAATCAAGATTTCTTATACCAAAACCCCCTAATTTTTTGGTATGAAGATTTCTTAAAAATGTTAAGCAATATTTTACTTGATTGATATTGAAATATATGAATAATATATAAATATATTAAATAAGTAATATGCTCATATTACTACCATATTTTACTATAGTAGCCACTGTCGTGATATAAAAAAATAATTATTACCTTTCAGAACTGTCTGTTTGCCTCTGTACATCCTTTTCTTTGACTTCTGGTATCGTTTTGGGCTCCTCGCGGACTCCAAGTCTTTCTCTTACTGGTCTCTTTGGTAGCTTCAGTTCAATTTGTGGTAGAACATCCGTAGGTTCTTTTGGAGGGTTTACGGGAGTCTCTGAAGGTTTAGGAGTGGGGGGAGGTGGGGACGGGGATTTGCGAGTGTTCAGCGGTGGTGTATTAACTGGAGCTTGTTGTGATATCTCCTAAAATGGAAAAGTTTTACGTTACATTTATGGCATAAATAAAAATAACTAATATATAAACTAAATAGTATTTTTAGCGCTAACTCATACATTACTTTGTTTCAGAGTGAATGGTACTAATGGTAATCAAAGTCTAACTGCGGGTTGGCAACCACAGTTAGATTTTACAACATTCGGATGTAGTCACAGCTAAAAGCTAGTCTTGTATGAATTAAAAATTATTATAAAATGAGTTTGAAAATCATATAAGTTTAAATATGTTACTTACTTGAAATACATCTTCAGCAAAATCATTCATTAATTCTTCAGCTTCAGTCCTTATATTTAGAAAATCTTCATCATCCGACATAGAGTCTAGCTGCTCAGCTAATTTCTGCTTTAAGCCTAGGATTTTAGCTTCAATTTCGTTTATCTCTTTTATTTGCTCATCTCTTGGTGTTTCTACTGAAGACACACTAGCTCTATTAGGCACTTCTTGACTTTCATTAGTTTCCAAGGATGAGTCTGGCGCAACCTGAGACGAGATTGTAGCGGGATCAATTATAGGCAAAATTGGGCGTTTCAACTCTTGTATAGTAGGTTTCTTATCCACTTGTGTAGATTCCTCCTTCAGACTCTCTAGACTAATTCCATGGTTTTTCAAAATTTGCCCAGCGAACACATCTGTTATAGAGGGTTCCGATTCTTTCTCCATGTTCATTAACAAAGGTGGTATATTAGGCCTAATCATCTCGTGATGTTTACTCTTTTTCTTGCTTTTCTTCTCTTCTTTTTTGCGATGTACCTTTTCTTTCCCCTTTTTCTTAGATTTCTTTATACTATCACTTTTCTTTCCCTTATCTTTTTTGTCTTTTGACTTATGTTCTTTAGACGAGGATTTTTCTTTGCTTTTTTCCTTTTCTGTTGATTCTGTAATAGATTTACATATATACAAATCCTTTTCATATTATAAATGATAAAGTTTGTAAGTATGGATGGATAGGCGGATGGAGGATGGAGCCGCGAGATACAGCTAGTAAAAAACATGATTGGACATTAAAACCCTTCTACAGAAAATATATAAAGAATACTTCGGAGGCCCAATTCTTGTAAAAGCAATTAATTTTAAAGGTAACAAGTCATTTAATTCAGCATATGAAGCTAATATCCTGAAACAATTAAGCGACGATTGACATATGTAATATGACTCGAGTTACAATATTTTAAACAAATAACTTTATATAATAAGCGCTATTGAAAAACAAGAATACAAAATAGTTTTAACAAGAAAATGCTATGAAATTGGTATAATTGTCGTAACTGGGCTCGAGTGTTATATTTACTTCATAAAAAAACAATACATACTTATTGGTGCAGTAACAGTGACTTCTTGCAGCTTCTTCAGCACTTGATGCAACCAGTTCACAAACAAGTCTGTGTTGTCACCGAGGAATAACTGCAAGTCGTCTTCCATTTGTGCTCTGGTACGTTTATTAGCAACCATCACCATTACATAGTCTGGGAGTTCATCATCTAATGAAATATCAACATCAATTAGTTAATTTCTTGTATTGTTATTTAAATAAAAATAGTTAATGTACTGTATTGAACTATTAATAACAATTTGTTATTTTTTTTTATGCAATTCAGAATGACAAACAGGCTCACGGCCCACCTGATGGAAAGTGGTAAACGTCGCCTATAGACATAAGCAGTACTATGGACATAACAGAGTATACTGTTTCACCTATGACACCTCCCATGCGTTGAACTACACCTGAGGACTCAGGTGTAATTCCTCTGTACCGTGTAAATTCACATATCCCACCCTTCAAACCGAACCACAGCCATGCAAAAACAACTGGATTACTGTAGAAACACGAATGGGCCAGAGGTGTCCAAGCAAACAACTTTTGTACAGTCTCCCTCTCTGATAATAGTTAATTCATAATATAAAAAGTACGATAATTAGACGGTGATAAGGAGAAGCAGCGTAATGGGTTATTAATTTGTCATTAAGTAATGTGATTGTTAACAGTTGAAATTAGCATTGTTGATGCAAATATGAACTTTGCAATAATAATCCTAATTACACCTAAGCGACATTTTCAGTTTTTCGATTAAGAACATTGACAAAATTACGAAAGCAAGTGTTTATGACAGTAATAAAATAACTTCTGATCACGGGTTTGCGACCCAATCTCTTAAAAGGCGCGTAGTAAAACTGATTTCGTAATGATAATAGCTAAATGAACATTCGAAATGCTCGCAATCGAGATGATTGCTTGTCAATTTAAATAATTAAGCAATGTTTGATAAAATTAAAAAACAAAAAGAGTTTCTTTTCGATCCTATTAGGTCGACCTCCACATGGTTCCCCCTGGAAACCAGCGTGAACAATTCTTGTTGAATTGGTCACGATAGGCTAATTCTGTGCCTCTAGTGAGAAAAGGTTCAATTCAAAATGACCACTTTTCAGGAGAGCCAAAAGACTATTTTAAATAAAGAAAAAAAAATCTGCTGCTTTTATTATTTGCTAATTGAACAAGTCAATGATTGCATTTATAGTAATTTTTTCTCCTCTTTCTTATGAAATTGTCGGTTTTTGTGTAAAACCTATAGTTTTAAAAATAATTCTATTATACCTAATCACACTTAACAAAAATATTAAAATTATCATGTGAAAATAGTTTTAAGTTGAATTAAAACTATTTTATTGAAGTATTGAAGAAAAACAATGTTGTGTATTTTACGCTATAAAAAAATAATCGCTATTAAATGGTGTAAAAGGGTTCAAATCGAACTGATTCATTTTACACAAAAATAAATTCATATTTCAAGGGTGGTTCTAAGTATCTTATTATTTTCGGCACTATTTTTGTAAAATATTGTAGTTTTATTTCTAATTATGACTTTTTTACCACAAATATTTTGTTAATTGTAGCCTTTTACATGTTTACTATCTCTATTGTTTTTAAAGATATCATTACGATTCTTATACTATTCGAAAGAGAAAAATTTGCTTATTTAAAGTAGCCTAAAAAAGAAAAAGGCTATAACTTGAGTTATACCCTTTCTCACTAGAGGCACAGAATTGACCTGCTTCATTCTCACCTATTATCTTTCACTGGTGCCCCGCCAGTGTATACCGATAGCGCGGGCGGGGTTACCATTCCATTATCACCCATTGAAAAAAAAACATGACAGACACATCTTCATTTTCAGATAAACAAAATCTTAAATATTTGTATATTTATTTAAATCTTAAATTTACACCTAGTAAAGAATAAAATCACATTTCCACTTACCTACGTAGCAGCCCAGCTCTGTCAACTTTGCCTTGATTGCAGACTGAAACAATATAAAAAAATGTATAATTATTGAACAATGACATTTAATAGGGGAGAAAAGGGATTGTTAGTAATGGGGATTAGCAATCCTATTACTAGCAATATACCCTATCAGATCGACCTACTTGCGGTTCTCCCTGGAAACCATCATGATTGATTCATTGGTGAATTTGTCACAATGGGCTGATGGACCTGTTTCTGCTTCACTTATCATCCATTAAAAAAATTAGACAGCCTTTTTAACCCAACTACAAAACAGCTAAAAAGAGGATTATGATTTTATAAATTTGTATTTTTATATTTTTTTTTTATTCTTATTGATATGTTTTTTGATACATTTTTTCTATGCATTTAAATATAGTAAGGAAAACAGCTGGATAATATAAAGAAGGCTTTTTGATAAAGACAAAGATTAAACAGAAAATTAAACATAAACATAAACAATAGAAGCCTAGAAGGGTTATTGTATACAAACCTATAGAAATAAAAAAAATAGCTTACAAATAACAAAAGGAAGTAAATGAAGGGAGAATAACAACAGAATTCTTATACTGAAATCTATTACCTTAATAAAGGTATAAAAATAAATATGAAGGAAAAGACTATTAAAATTTTAGATAAGCAATAATTGAAAGGAGTTTGAAACTGTATAGAAGCACTACAGAACACACAATTAACTGAGAGTAAACAATAGATACAAATAGACCTACATAAAACTATTGTATGGATATGAGAATAAAGACCTCAATGGTCTCAATAGTGCTTCTTAACAGGTGGATGTTAAAATGAACATGGACAAGACCAAAATCATGTCTAATACTTATATTACACCTATGCCGAGAACTTTACCCTTGAAGTTGTCGACAAGTATGTATGCCTAGGACAACTCTCACGTAACATCGGGCTCTATAAGTTTAACTTTGATCAAAAGGTCAACCGACAAATCCAACTTGTGTGGGTAGCATTTAGGAAACCATGCCATATCTTCGCATCTAAAATACCTCATAGTTTAAAAATAACCAATGATGACCTATGGAACCAAAACATAGTTCTACTCATATGCAAAAGCTTCAAGTTACTCAGCAAACTATAGAAAGGGCTATACAGAATTTCTTTGCATGATAGAATCTAATGTAATAACGATATTCGAAGAAGAACCAAAGTAACCGACAGCCCAAAGGATAAACAAACTGAAGTGGCAATTGGCTGGTCATATAACTTGAAGAGCTAACAACCAATAGGGAAGAAAGGTTTTTGAGTTCTGACCCTATATGTACAAACAGACTAGAACGACCCCCCACTAGTGTAATGACAAACTGAAATACTTTGCTGGGAGTCAGTGGATGCAGGTGGCTTAAAACCATTTCTAGTGGTAGTCTAAGGGGAGGCCTATATTTAGCAGTTGATAGATAATAGCTAAGGAAGATGAATTAATCATAATTATCACCTAAAATATTTATGTACCATGTCAGTATATACTGTTAATACAGGTGGGGCTACCATTTCATTATCATCCATTGAATTAAAACTTATCATAAAAAATACACCACATAAAGAAATAAGTACTGATTTTGTAGTTATTTACTTAGGTACTCATGCCCTACTCGTATTTCTGATGTCTTTACATGGCTGTGTTTTAGTTCAAAATATGAAAATAAAATAAATAACAGGAGGCATAACAATATCTATAAAACCATTTATCAATTTATTAAAATGACAAGTTACTGCAAATTATGCTTAATTCTTATATTCTAAAGTATTATAGCAGTTAATAAATATAATAATTATCTGTATATAGTCTATTTTAATATAAAAAATGCTTTGAAATTACAAAATTACTGAATATAATAATAGAAAGAAGACGGTTAAAAGAGACTTTTAATATTAAATATAAATATGATACATTATGAATACCTATACAATCATATTTATTATATTATGTTAAATAATAAAACAATAGAATACTTACTCGCATTTTCTGCCCAATTTCGCTACCGACATCATTCATGATGAAAGTATTTTTCTTTTAATCACTTCTAAAAAATAAAATCACCACATGATACGCCTTACAGCGAAAGATATTTTACAGTATATCCAATATAAACATACGCATGAAATAAAATTGCTATTTTTATTCTAATTTATATAGGTGTCATAAAAGAAAAATAGTAATTCAATAGATGGTCTCTATTCAACTGTCTGTTGACCTATACAAGAAAATAACATAACATTTCACTTTTCAGTGTTACTAACTCTTAAAAATATTTATCCCCAAAGCTAAAATCAACTCTAAAATCGGCACAAGCACGATAGTGTATGCTATCCAATAACTTACGAGTATTACTTGAATAACTACCCGACTACATTAGATGTATTTTTTTAATTATTTAAAATATTTAAAGATATATTTTGTATTTTTCTATATTAGGTAGGTATTTATTAATAAAAAATCTTAAATCCATCAATAGCAATGTCATCAATATCAATAAATATCATCAAAATTTATTTTATTAGCAAGAGTAGGTTACTTTTATGATCTATGAATTTGAACTTTGAATTGATCTGTTCGATGATCGTTGATACAACAAATTTAAAAAAAATTTCCTAAATTTGTCCAAGCTCATTTCACTTTTCTTTAAGCATTACTTCAAGATTTTCATTTCTCCAATATTTTTAAAATTGAAAAGTTTTTACTCAAAAATGTGTAAAATATACGTTCTGGCAATATTAGTCCAAACAGATACAGAATAAAAGTATTGTCAATGTCAAGATGTCTGTCGGTTGTAAGTTGTCAATCAATACATGACATTAAAGTTGAATGGTATTCGTACACGAGCAAGTGCTTTCATTACCATAAGAAATATTTTACTATAAAGTGTTCTAGTAATTATAATGTTACTGTAATATTAGAGGTTACATTAGCGATCTCACACACAAACACTGTTATTATCGTCATCATTTTAGAAACATAAATACTGTACTTTTACTTAATTTTAAAAAGTTTGGAAAAGGAACCAAATAAAGCGTTTTAAACAAATTAACTTGTTCATACGTTCATCAGGAGTGTTCCTTATAGGTACATATTTATAATCACGTATCGTACTAGTAATAATCACGTTAACTACCTCATAAAACGGAAATATATAAATTAAACCATTTGTAGCGATATCTGCATGTACTCGTATCTAGCAATCTTAATTCAAGGAAAAAATACACGTTCAAGATGGTACCTCAATAATATCGTGTTAATAACTCCAACTGTCGGCGAATCAAATCAAAGAATTTTCACAGAATTTCTAGAATAGGTTTGTAAGACTGGGCACGCTACGTGGGAGACAAACCACAAAGGGCTTCAGTAGAAGAAAGAACAATAACGCATAATTTGCCGCCACCTTTAAAAGTTTTCACAAGCTAAAAAAGACGGTGTTTTCAAAGAATAGCAACGTACTTAGTTGCAGTTCAGCAAACAATACAATTTGGTAAATAATAATAATTTATTTATTTGCTGAAAAACACGGTATACAGATGCTAGTAATAATAAAAACAATAGCATGCAAAATTTTAGTATTTATACTAATTTTTTCAAATAATAAATAATAGAGAGTTGAGAGATCAAATAAATTTATTAAAATATATAAAAAAAGCATTTCTAAATAAATCTTTATTTAGTCTTTATTAAACACAAAAGGAATAATATTAAAATAATAATTAAATGTAATAGTGGACAATAGTTTATTTACAACTCGTTTATTCGTAGTTACAGGCATACATGTGTGCCAATTGAATTAAATATTATAGTTAAAAATTAATAAATAATATGTCTATATAATTGAAGATACATTGAAATAGTAACAAATTATAATAATTCAGGGGCAATTAATTAATTATTTAATTTAATCATAATTTAAGGGACATTATGTAATTAATCATATTTGCACGCCTTTTGATGGTGAAATATAGTATACTACATATTCTACATCAAACTTATAACTGTGCCTGTGATTATGTAAATAAATGATTGATTGATTATTTTCAAGTGCTTGTACGGTAGTGATGTCAGATAGGAATCGAATGTCAAAATTATTGATTCCTAACTTATTACTCCCTTAATAATACACATTGGTATTTGAATATCGAACTGTGTCCGCCAAACGGTATGTGTGTGTATTTATATTGAGATTTAGGAAAAAGACTCCGGCTCCTGAACCGACCTCATAGTTTTGGAGCCATCCGTGTATATGCGTAGTTCTTATCATCATCATCTCAGCCATTATCTGCCTACTGCGCGTAGTTTATATATTCCAGATTAATCCCTTTCCTCTTCTTTCATTTTTATATGACATTTTCTGTTAAATATATATTGGCTTTGACTACTATTACACGGGGCCGCAATCAGTAGATCATACCGTTGTTAGGGTTGTTTTTATGCAGCCGCTGATGGAAGATTAAGCAAATATCTGGAAGCTTCATAATTTGGTAACCGTGATCGACAGTGTTGTTCTCAGCCACCAAACCAGCGCACCGTAGATCGACATTGGTCTTATCATGGCCGTCTTATCATGAACTCTCGGTTAATACCGAGAGTTCATGCTGTATGTACCATCTTTCAATTATCATGCAAGTTTCCCTCATATTGTTTCATATAATACTTTCTAAATTTCCTAATAAAAATACAGCTATATCATCCACATAGCCTATCATGTAGAGAGTATTTTCGTTGAGGTCTATTATGAGCTCTTTTACTACTATGTTCCATGATAGCAGTGATTGTACAGCATGTTGAGTACAGCCTCTATTTCCGATGCTTGGTGTAATAATATTTATAGTGGATTATATAGTTATGTTTATAGGTTGTTTAAGCATGTTGTTTATCTATTCTCTAAGTGTTATACTACTCCATGTACAGCTAGCTAGTGCTCGACTTATACTGGCAAAATTTGTTTTATCGAAGACTCCTTCGACGCCTATGAATGCACCTAGGGTTGGCTGTAATTGCTTTGATTACAACGCATTGCCTATACGGGTTCACTTGTTTGCACTGTAGGCATGTTGGTCTTTTTAATAGATGATAATGGAATGGTAAACAGTGAAGGATGATAGGCGAGAATGAAGCAGGGCCTCTAGACAAGTAGCAAGCGAATTCGTCGATGGAATCGACATCGCTAGCGAGTGCGTGAGATAGAATGAGATAGCAACGTCGGGTGACTCATTCGAAATCACGAACTCACTAGAGATGTCGATTCCATCGACGAATTCGCTTGTCACTTGTCTAGAGGGCCTGGTCAGTTAGGTCATCGTAACGAATTCAACAAAAATTGTTTACGATGGTTTCCAGAGGAAACTACGTGAAAGTCGATCTAATAGGGCATATTGCTAGCAATGGGGCTGTGAAACTTCATTGCTAACAAAACCTCCCCCTAGTTTTTTAGTACTTCTGGGTCGCATAAATGAACAACCAACCTCCGCTATTGGATATATTGGCGGCGAGTCAGCTCGAAATACGGAATGAAAATAGAACGAAGAAAATAGTCAATATTTATAAATGTGTTATCTATGTATTTTATAAGTACAATAAAGAATATATACAGTAAAAAGTGAAATTAGGATGCAGTGGTTCGCGGAAGATTTGGCCTCTAATCTCTTTGTTACACAGTCTCTCTTTAAATTAAAAAAAAAGAACTAGGTGAGACTGATGGGTCGGAAGGATTTAGCGTGTTTGTTTGTGAGTGTAGTTTTCTCTACTAGTTCGGGAGAAAGAGGAGACTAATTTTATTGAATAAAACAAACTTATAACTAAGATAATTTTATTTTTAAAAACAATTTATTGTCAACAGTTCGAATTGAAAATAAATAGAGTACTTACATTTATCTACAATTATACATTACTTAAAACGATTTTATTGGTCATTTTTTACTTAAAATTATTATGGCATTTTTGTAAAATTTATAATTAATAATTCAAAAATATTTTATTTAATTATAATCGGTAATAATTAAATTGTAAATACTGTTTAAAGCAATTAGATTTCAAGTTTATGATGATGGTGACTGGCGTTCTTTCTTACTAAGATGGATTCAGATCAAGTGAATGTATTACCGTTCTTTCCTTACGCCCTAAATTTTGGTTTAATGTAAAGGACTTTAGTACTATTTAATTGCTTAACAATATTAGCGGAAGTTTTTAGACTTTGTTCTAGCCTTAGGTTCTCTTTGTTCTTTGAATTTAAATCCAGCTTTACATTTAACAAATTGTACAATATCTACCTAGTGTTTAGCTACTTGAGAAATTACGATACATGTAGGTACCACGTCTTTGGTTACAACTAAGGTATTTATTATATTTTTGGAATGTTTTATCACCTGTCAGACTTATCATCTAAATTATAAGGAATGCTTTGTACAAAATAAAAATTGTAGTTCTGTATTCATACATATAAAAAGGAAACACTGAGAAGGCAGCCGGAGAACGAAACGAGTATTATATTAGTGACATTTAAATGTTATGACGTTGATATGCAAGGAATAGGTATTAATCTTAGATTATATAGATACAGCTTCGAGCCTCAAAATCGGGTCAACTTTTTGTCAACTAATTGTCAAATTAGCTGATACGTTTTTTTTTGTGTTCTATATACTTATGAGCATAATGTATCTTGACGTATCTATATTTAATTATTTAATAAATAAATTGTGCTTTTACACATTAAAAAGATACAAAAATTATAAAACAAAATAAATTATATAAGTTATAAAGGAAACACTCATAACTATTTATCACGCTAAATTGTATGAAAAAGTTGTCCCGCTTTTCTCAAAGCATTTGTATGGAGACATCTATATAATTTAAGGTATTAATACAGTCACTAATTATCTATTAATGAACATAAGTCTCTTCATAGACCATCATGAAGGAAAAGAAAGGTCTTTGACCTTTTATATTTATTGACTTCATCTAGTGAGGCTGTACAATGGCGTGAATTTACTGGGTACAGAGGAATAACACCTGAATCCTCAGGAATGGCAACGCATGGGGGGTATCATGGGCGAATCAGTATACTCTGTTATGTCCATGGTACTGCTCATGTCTATAGGCGACGGTTACCACTTTCCATCAGGTGGGCCGTCAGCTTGTTTGCCATTCTAAGTTGCATAAAAAAAAAAAACAATTTGAGTCTCTTCGCCTTCTCATTACTGCCATCAGTTGTAGTTATTTATTAGCTTATTTTATTTATGTACAAATAATCTCAAAATTCTTGAAATATATCGGGAGATGTTTTTTTAAAATTAAAATTACTATAATTTAATCAAAAGGCCCATATGAAATAGAGACTTAACAATATTTATTTACATAATTAGAGTTATTGCTTAGTTATTTATCGCTCGTTAGTAGGACGGATATTTAAGTTAGTTTAAGAGATATAATATTAAATAATAAAAAAAAGGTAAGTAAGTAGTATAAAGGTATAATTTTGTGTAAAAAAGTCTTATAATAAAATTCTTTGGTGTCGTAACAACGAACGATAAATCGCTAAATGTAGATTCGTTTGTCTCCTTTTTGGTCGTAGCGCACAACTTGGTACCTAGTGATTGTGTGGCCAATATTCTGTAGTGACCCTAATCTAGTGCCATTTAGCGGTGCATTATATAACTGGTTGACATTCTGAGATTCTTTTTTTGACCCAATAGGTCGCAACGATCCTGTTTTTGGACCGTAGTATTGTGCGGTGGTATTTGTTGATGAATTAGGTCCTTCCTTTGTTCCTGATTTAGGGCCAACTGGTTCGATGGACCTCTTGTTGTTTGATGAGGATCCTACCTGCCGCCGAGGGCCGGGGCTCCCCGTGGGTCGGCTCTCGATTCCCCCAGTGACACTTGGCTGAGCGCCGTGCGTGTGTTGCTGAAGCTGTACCCGTGACGCTCGTTCCATTTCTCTAAAACCAATGAAGGACTAGTTAATTGTCGTTTATTTCTTACGAAATTTGATTATAATAATTACTAGTCTTTACTCGCGACTTTATTAGTTTAATGATGAATGAGTTAAAAAGCAGCCATTGTCTTCTCCATTCCAAACTCTTAATTGAATTTCATGACTACTGGTTGTGCTTTTAAGGAGATTGAGAATGTCTTTCTTTTCGAAGATGATTGAAAGCACAAGCAATGTTAATGCAGTTAATGAATTCATACTCCATACTCTGTACATATGTCAGTTTGAAGAAGGGAATAATAATAGTAATAAGTTAGTAGATATTAAAAAATAATTGAAAAGTACATGCTAGGTAAATATACGATATATGCTCAGAAGTGTAAAGAATGAATGATAATAGCAGTTATATTGACAAACTAAGCTTTCATGAAAATTTAAAGTTATGTTTTGTATATGTAGTATGTTACAATAAAATTTAATGGTAATGTTTACAAACGAATATTTGAGCATAAAACATTCTGCTGACTTTTAATAGTAAAAGTTACAATTTGTTACAAACTTTATTTGGTGAGTGTTTCTGTGTTAATTGCAACAAAATTTGAGTATCTTTTTATTAACTTTTATTAAAATATAATGTAGGTAAAAGGGTTGAATAATATATAGTAATATCATTAATTTTAGTCATAATATTCATATACTGGTCCAATAACGAATATATTAAAAGTAGGTTTTCCAGAAAATGATATTGGATAACAGACATTTAACATATTCGAAAACAGATATCCGACCGATATGGGCCATATCGAAATAAGTGATGAGCTTTTTTTCCGCTATTAATATACAGTGGAACCCAAAATATAGATATCGGATCGGTATATAATTATATATATATATATATATATATATATATATATATATATATATATATATATGTATGTGTGTCGCGGGCAAAGACTAAAACCAAATATCGGCTGTGAATAGATAGATAGACAGATAGTCCGATAGGAAACGGTGTCAGGATAGATACTAATCTAAGGCAACCTTCTTTTCTTTTTTTACAATATCTAATCAAGTAATTAGCGAGATCCATTATACGATGTCTCTTTAGTTGCTTTATGTCTTACATTAATAAAATTGATCGTGACAAGAAAGCATTGGTTGGTGTAATACTAAGTTATTGAGTATGTAACCATATACTCGTGATTAAGTTTTTATAAATATTTGCAGGATTAATTTATATTTATGATAAACATAAAGTAAATATATAACCACATTACTAACACCTATGTTTATCCCTTCAGAGATAAAGTCGAAAGAGTGTACGTTAAAAAGTAAAAAGCAAATATAGCTGTTTTAGCTTTTAGTATATTTTAGCTATAAAACAATCTAATACTTAAGTACATACTCCTAATATTACTTTATGGTTATTTAAGAGTTAGGATGCTCTTTTATTATTAACGTATGTATTTTAAAAGTAATTCACTACAAAATTAAGCTATAAAATGAGACTATAAAATTGAAGTCGTATTTTTAAAATTTGAATAAAGTTATACGTTATTTTATCGTCTTCATCCATATTTACTGTCGATGAATCAAAGGTTTTATAAATTGTGATAAAATACTGTTTAAATTGTTCTAGGATGGATAAACAACGACAAAGAATTTACACACACAATGATACAATGCGAAGGTGCAGTTTTAATATGGACAAATAATTGGTGTGTTAGTTTTGATACATCAATGAACTGTTAACAATGTGATTGATTCAGTCACCAAGTAAAGAATATTTTTATGTCTTTAGAATTTCTATTCGGTATTAGGTATTTATAAGGACCCCTGGAAGAGCGAAGTTTCCTAAAAGTTAATTATTACCTAAAAGGAGTCTCTAAGTCCATGTTTTTAAACTATGTAATATATAAATGAATAAAGATTATTATTATTATAAATAAGGGTAGTACTAAATGCTCGCACCACCAAATGTACCTACGTAAATTTATTTTAAGAGTTCATTTTATACGGTAAGATGATATAAATATAATATTATATCATATTTATTTTTTCATGTGTTATTCAAAAATAACAATTTCTCTATTTATATTGCAGAGAATATAAGGTAAGAATATAATACACATAGATAGATATACGATATAAACAAGTGTTCGATTCAATATAAAGGGACTAATATTTGCAAATAAAGTATTTGGTTTATTGTTTATATGTCTTTGTAATTGTAACTGGATGATATCTGTACACGGGAGATATATAAGAAAAATGAATATATAAGGCTTTAGTAGGAGCAATAGGAGCCAAAACAATAATTAGTTTGTTACGGCATCACGCAAAAGTTATTGTACCAAATTGAATGCGATTTTCACTGTTTTATTTTTGAAGATGTAACTTAAAAACTAGTGTGTGTTTTATTTCGATATGCACTTGTGAAAAAAGTTAGTACAGGACGTAAATAATATTCATACAATGTCTTGATGTCAAAATCAACGGATTAGTTTATCATTAGTAGTTTTAAAAGCAGGCACAGACTGACAGCTTCACGGGGTATTTTTTGTCTGTTACAATAAAATACGAGAATTTAAAATACAGAGTTTTTTCATAATAAAAAACTGCATTGAAATTCCCCCAAAAACTGTTTCACGTCTGCTCAGATCAGTAAGCATAGATACCGGCAAGTAACTTGAACAATTTTAATACCACGTGTCTACTGCACAAACTTTGTTGTCTATGGTTTTTTGCAGTTATGTCGTCGAATGGTCAACACTAGGTTCCAAGCAACGATAGATCAATCGCTCAATAATGCATCGTTTAGAGGTGAAACACGTGAGCAACATGAGTGTAGACCAAATAATGGTCAGAGATTGAAGATTAATAGGAATGGTAGCAAATTAAAACAAAATAATTCTAATCATCTAACAAGTAATAAGAGGGGGGGGGGGAGGGATTGTTAGCAATGGAGTTTGACAGCCCCATTGCTAGCAATATGCCCTATTAGATCGACCTCCTTCACTTATCATCTTTCACTGGTGCCCCGCCGGTGTATACCGATAGCGCGGGTGGGTTACTATTCCATTACCACCCATTAAATCATGAGTGGTATATGTTGATTTGCTAGGATAAAAACATAAACTAAATAATGTCCTTCTTTGGTTCAAATACTACGTGTGGACTAAATTTCATGTTTGATTGAGCCGTTACAGCGTTAAAAGGTATTTACTAACTCGTGCGTGTAAAATAGGAGTTTTGGAAGATCCCAGGAAAATATACTGGAAGCTGCGGGAACTAGTCTTTTTTCAGTTTTTCTCGCTTTTAAAATGAAACAATTTTGTAAAGTCCTGTTTTGTTCAAGTTCCTCACCGGTGTTTGTAAGTAGCTATTCAAACCAGTCAGTCCAACCACCTCGCAGCGTCCTAATTGCTAACAAGTTATGATACCTTCACGTTCGGATATAGGTGGCGAGAGCCGAAGTCCTCTCCGACTTCTTAGGTTGGCATGCGACGGGCGACGATGGATACGCACCGCTGGTGAAACCTGGCAATCTGGAGAGGGGGCAGCAGAGCGCCGCGGCGTACGCAGCGCGGTATTGGGCGTTCATGATCACGTAGATGATTGGGTTTACGCATGCGCTCGCGTACAGCAACAGGTAGCCCGCGATGTGGAATACTGTGGAAGGATATTGAATTTTTTATATGGTTCCTTAACGAGCTTGTTAGTGTAATGTTTTAACATATTGCCTTAGCTTCAAGTTGTTGAGTTGTTGTAAAATTTTTTTTTCGTGATTGCCTATGTTTATTTGTTTTATTAATCTGGTAATATTTATTTGTTTAATTAATATATTTGTCTGGTAATCTAGTAAAAGGTTTCTTCAGGTTTCACACGCAACCTGTGGACTTCACAGCCTGTGGACTTCTGCAACACCCTAAGTGTTGCAGAAGTCCACAGGCTACAGTAAACATTTACCATCAGACAGCCTGTATACGTGTTTGCCACCTTCGTAGTATAAAAAAAAGTATTTAAGTATGCTTATGATTTGTCTAATATACAACATAGTACAAGTATTATAATATCTGTGGTACAAGTATAGATATTATAATAAAAATGCCTAACTGTTTTCTGCAGCTTATTCCACATGAATCAGATTATAAAGTAAGAAATTATGTAAATGTGTTAAGGTAGCAAAGAGATTGTTAGTAACGGGGATCTAGCAGCCTCATAGCTGGTAATATAATCTACGGGTTCGACCTCCACGCTGGTCGCTCAGAAAACATTTTAGTTAATTCTTTATGAATTCATCATTAGAGGTCTGTATCTTCCTCAACTGCCATCTCTCACTGGGGCCCCGCCAGCATATACTGATAGTGTAGGCGAAGTTATCATTTTATTATCGGCCACTTTCTATCATCATACGGCTCGCTATCGACAGGGAGTTCACCCTCATACCCTACAGCCTAAATGTCCGCATACAACGCGCTTTCAGAGATGTTTTCTCCCACGAACACTGAGGTTATGGAATGAGCTCCCTGCCGAGGTTTTTCCAAGAGACTACAGCACGGGGTTCTTCAAAAGGGGGTAAAGAGGTTTCTTCAGGGTCGGCAACGCGCGCGTAATACCTCTGGTATTGCAGGCGTTCATAGGCTACGGTAACCGCTTATCATCAGGTGGGCCGTATGCTACTTTGCCACCTCAGTGGTATAAAAAAATCATCCATTAAAAAAATATTGAAATCCATTCAGGCGTTTAAGTTTGACTGACAAATATATTAACATGTTTATAAACTTTCATATTTATAAGTAGGATTATTTCGTTATTTAAACTTTATTGAACATTAAAATGTGGTATAAAAGGCGGACTTAGGTAATGCTATAGACATTCTCTACCGAGTCAACTTTTAGGATATGCAGAGATACAGGATGGCAGTTTAAAAAAATAAAATTATTGATATTTTAGTACAATAAGGAAATTAAATACAAACATTCTTAAAACAACCATACGTATTAATATAGTATTTATATATTTATACCTACATATAAAAATACATATACATTACTAGGATTACTTAGTTTGTGAGTAGAAAACGCTGTGTGTGTGTTCCGCAACATAAATCGACTTACCTAATTAATGTAAGTAGTAATATATTGTATATAGACACGAACAGTGTAGTGGGAATCTTAGAAAACATACGTTGCCCATTTTAAAAATTTTGCTAAGTAAGAACTAGATACTTCAATCAACTATATTAATATAATATAAAAACTGGTAGTGAACGAATGAAAACAGAGTTAACAAAATCTGTAAAATTGACGAAGATACCCCGTAACATTATGTGCAGAAAAAGTACAGGCAAAGTGAGAATCTTCCCTTTTTATAAAATTGATTAAAAAAAATAGACATTGAAATCAATTTGCAAAATTAAAGTATCTATATGATTATGAATATATCTTATTTATTTTATTAAGGTATTTAATAAAATTTCACATGTAAATAGGTTAACACATCTAGAATCATACTTATTTGATATGCTTGACCTAACTTGAATGTTTCTGATATATCCAGTCTTAAGTTCCTAAAGTTCCCTATACGAATAGGCCTTTTTAACAAATGGCGGTAGATAGTGTAACTTAACTCTTCTAAGTAGAAGAATATATCAAGATTATCAGATTGAAAAGTTTTAGTGCTAAACTAAGTTCAGTGGCAACTTTTGTATCCTCTTTAAATTGGATACAGGATAGTTCGAGGGCAGAGAACCGATAGAGTTCATAACAAAAAAAGAGAGAAAAAGAGAGAGCGAAAGAATATTGATTACTTATTAATAAAAAATCGCTTTATAAATCTAAGCAAATACCACGTTCTTCAACTTTAGTGCATACTAAACTTGAAGAGTGTGGTATTAAACTCATCGTTTAGTAATCCATTTCAGTGTAAGTACTTCGTTTTCACTATACAATTAAGTATATAGACTGAGACAATTAATTTATTTATTTAAATAAGTTAATTGACCAAATAAAAATATGGTATAAAAGGCGGAATTATTTGTTAGTTGCATTCTCTACTAGTCAATATTTGGGATGAATAATAAATCATAAACGCGGTGTCAATAAATAATATTATATTATCACTACATAGTATAAAGTCGCTGTCGCTGTCTGTCCGTCCCTATGTATGCTTAAATCTTGAAAACTAAGCAACGGATTTTGAAGCAGGTTTTTTTTTTAATAGAAAGAGTGATTCAAGAGGAATGTTAATATGTATAATACATGTATAATATTGTAGAGAAACACTGACAAATTTAGAGGTTTCTAATGTGATGTCGTAAATAAACACATTTTTTAGCATTTCACCCGTGCGAAGCTGAGGCGGGCTGCTTGTTATATATAAATTATAGACAACCAAAGAAAGACGTATTGTCTTTGATAAGCGATATACTTACTTGGATAATGTACATGACTGTCGGCAACTTTTGCTATGGTGATGGGCAGGTAACATACTAAGAAGGACAAGAAGATGGCTAGAACCATTTTCGTAATCCGCCACTCGTTTCGTCTCGCCTTTGTTTCCCTGTTATCCTTTATTGTGGATCGCTTGTCTGCAGTGCTATTATTTAGTGTGCCCGGACTTGTGTGCTGTGATCTCTGATGTTCACGCATTCTTCGCTCTGAGCTGAAATAAAAAAAAAAACCTTACTAAATTGTTTTTTACGTAATTTAAAATGGCATACAAGTTGACGTCTCGCATGATGGAAAGTAGCAACTGTCGTCTATAAATAAGAACAGCACCGTGGACTATGATTTTACTATTATATCCCACGGTTTAAAGTATGTAAGTAAGCTATCTATGTAGATCTTTGTACAGTCTTCATTTGGTTTCACTTAAGATCTTCATGCTACAAAGGTTAACAAATCCCAGTGAGGCTTCTAAGGCTGCAAGTGTTCATATTTACTTAACATCAGGTGGATTGCATAGGTACTCAATTGCATATGTTACCCTTGACATATTAAAAATGTAATAAGTATTATAAGTATTTATCGTTATCATAACTCATTAATTACTCTGTTAGGCAACTTTCCTCCATAAGGGAAGAAGCATAATAATAGCCAATATTAATAGCCAATAATAGCCCAATAATAGCTCGCTGGAAGCCTCGCTCGACGTGTAGTTCCAGGCATAGAATAAGCCACCCCTTCGTTTCCCGCGAGTGTCGTAAGAGGTGACTAAGAGAGCTTACGGTGGAGGAATGGGCAGCAGCGCCCTTTTAAAAGATAACCAAAAGCCAAACTGCGGTTGCCAACCCATCTGCCAAGTGTGGCAACTACTGGCAAAACCCGCTTTATGGGGGAAGCTATGTTCAGCAGTGGTCAGTTGACGACAATAAAACAACTACAAGATTGCTGGTTACCATTAACCAAGTTGCTTAGTATAAAGTTCTACTTCATTAACTTTGACGGTGTATTTACTTGCTCAGTCATATCATACATTATTAAAAAAATTAAAAGAAATGTAGATTAAAGTGAAGTTACAGTTGATCTAGGGCCGTATGGGTGTGACATCATATTTTACTTCTTGCTACCGTTAGTAAAATGAATATTTACCTGTGCACCACCCAGAATATCCTTGCGTAGCATATGAAAATGAGCAGAGCGGGTACAATAAAGGCGATGACGAAGAGAGCAGTCTTTGATGAACGCCCTCGTTCATCAGGCATAATGGAGCACGTGCCCAACTCGGGGTCGTAATCGAACTTACCTGTAATTTTAAGTAATACACATGTTTTTATTTAATGAATGATAAAGGAACTCTACTAGCGCTATTGGTCTACCTGGTGGAATACTAGTGAGAGATGATAGGTTAGGTTATCCAATTCTGTTAATCCATTATGAATTAACCACAACGGTTCTAGGAAGTTGTCCACGTGAAGATCCACTTGACAGCGATATACCCTATAATGCTAGAATGGGGCCGTTATTCTACATTACGAACAATCCCTTGTCCCTAGCAATTATTAATATTAAGCAATTGATAGCTTTGGTGATGTTATGTTACCAGAGGGAGACTATGTACAAAAGTCGATTGTTTGGGTACCTCTGTCCCATTTGTGTTTCTACCGTGAAGTAGTTGTGTTTGCATGGCTGCGTTTCGGTTTGAAGAGTGGGAAATGGCGTGAATTTACAGGGTACAGAGGAATAACAAACTGAGTCCTCAGGAATGGCAACGCATGGGGGGTATCATGGGCGAAACAGTATACTCTGTTATGTCCATGGTACTGCTCATGTCTATAGGCGATGGTTACCACTTTCTATCAGGTGGGCCGTCAGCTTGTTTGCCATTTTAAGTTGTATAAAAATGTAGCGGTTTAATACACTAACATCTGATGGTCGTATTTGAGTCTCGCTCAATATAAACATTTTAGATCACATGAGTCTATGTAGTATTTAGAAGTACATTCAGTGGTATTAGGAACTGTAATTTATATGCAAGTTTATCAATAAATGCTAATTTGAATGCGAATTTGAATAAAATTTGTTACTGTGATGGATATATAAAATATTTTTTATATAAATTTATACAAACAAAACTGCAGGTGGTACAGTAAGGATGAGAAATAAATAATATTAAATTTTAAGTAGTACTTGCACTTTTATATATTTTTCTTTGATTTTTATCTACGAATATGTATGTATTTATTTAAAGTAATTAATCAATTTCATTTTTTTTAAATGATATTATAATTGAACACTCGGTAATTCGGAATATATCTTTCTAATATGAAAAACATGTAATTATTTTGTAATTGAAAAAGTTTCGGCACGGGCAGAGCCGAAGAAGTTGTCGCATGGCTTGAAATATTTTTCTTTAATCACAAAAAAATGGTAAATAATTGATTTTCTTTAATTTCAATATAATTTTTTATAGTACTCGCAATTTACAAACGCTCGTCGACTTTTCTTTTTAGATTTATATTTTTTTGTATTGATTTTTTTCTTCAGTTAATGGAACCGACTTCGAGAGCGTTATTTTATTTTACTAAATAAGGTGTGATATAGAATATGATAATAATAATTATTTATAAGACAAGTAAAAATAATCGACAACGTATTGGCGACTTCCCTGTCGTCGTCAGTGTCCATAGGCTGCGGTGATCACTTACCATCAGGTCAACCACATGGCCGTTTGTCGTCCTCTCACGTGAAAAAATGGTCGACTTGTGATTGTTTATTGGCCAAGATTATATATATAATAAATATATCTAAATATATAATATATATATATATATATATATATATATATATATATATATATAATAAATATATCATTAAAACATAATTTTAATAATACCTTATTCAAGTTGTAAGTAATTTAATACAAAAGCGTCTAGCGTGTACCCTTAATTTATATTTCAACTTGTTTTGCCGCGAGAAATGTTATATGAGAAAACTTACCCCATACTCCTACGAGTGTCGGTATCTGCATACCGTACGAAAACATCCACGAAAACACGATCATGAGTGCAATGTTGTGCTTACGGTAGACCCGGGCGTACCAGCTGTGGTGGGCTATCATTATGTACCTAAAACCAAAGAGGATAAGTCTGATTATACAGTAACAATGTATTTTGGTTTAAATAATAATAAATCGAAATGGAGAAATAAAGGTAAACGTATTGTATTATTATTGAAAAAACGTTAAAGATTACGCCCAATTTATTTACTGTAGTGGTAAGTGGTAATTAAATTGGTAAATTTCATAAAGTGTGCCCCATTTAGTAACTTATGAGATTTTTCTGAATACTGGTAGTTAATCTGAATAACAAACTACCCTCTACATTGACTATTCTAGTAATATGTTTCAGATTATTATATGGAGTAGGTATCCATTCAATTTCCTGAGCAAACGACTACCTGCGGATATTGGAAGCTCATAACTTCTTTTAGAATAAGGTAAGGAATTCTGGATGTGGAAGTAGTTAACTAAAGCAAGTAAACAATTGCGAATTCAAAATCACCTCCCCTTTGCAGAGACACTTGTAAATTTAATAATTTCATATCATCCGTTTTCTGTCCGCTGTTGAACATAGGTTTTCCCCTATGACTGTCATAATAAATGGGGCCGTTTCTTATGGATGTTTACGATTGATGGGATTATCGGTATATAGGTAAATAATAACAAGAAAAGATTCAGCTCGATTGGCTTTCTATTTATATTAAATTTAAAGTATAAATTGTATTAAATATATAATTTACACTTTAATTGTTAGAAAGAAATGAACCAATTCAACTTTGCTAGCGACATATTAAAAGTTATTTACAAGATTGTTTATCTCGCAAAAAAAACAGCGAATTAGAATGAAATATATGAGAGAGAAAGGCGTATTAAAATTTATTCGGAATTAGGGGATATATTATATTATAATTATACAAAAGATACAGGCAAAACAAAGAATATTCTTCATTTTAAAGCATTGAAAAAGAACAATGTAATAATATAAACAAAATTGTTCTCAAATACAATTAGGCAATAAGAATTTAGAATGATCGAATTATTCTAAAAAGAAAGAAGAAAAGAAGGAATAGAGGATGTTTCTTGATTGGTCTACGTCTACCAGGCGTGCTTTTGTCTGCTAGAAAAGGTGGTCTTTGACATTACATCAAACAATTTCTCGGAACAGCTCCATTATACAAGTGCCAGAACTCACAGCGGGTGGTGGATTCTCTTCTGATTTTAACTTGACTGTTTACAGTCTAACAAAGTTAATAATAGAAATGTTCTATTAATTGTTTTGAAAACATGTTTACCATCATAATAACTTTTTAATTAAGACAACAAGGATTGTTTTTGACATTAATTCACTTTAAAGTATATTGAGAAATTTAAAAGCTATAATATGAATTAATGAATGTATTGTAATTTTGAAGTGTAATAAAAAAAATTGTTTTTCTTAAAGAAAAATTCAACTTATTAAAAAATATTATTATCTAAATATGACAAAAAATATTATATTAATATATCCGGAACAACAACACCAAAAATTGTGACGGTTGTTACTTTAATTTTATAGAACAAAAAAGAATATTTACATAAATATGTACTTAGCAATAATTACAATTTAATATTATGAGTATATAATTTTATCACATAGTTGCACCTACCGCAGATTGGGCCACCGCCGGCGACAGTTTATGGCCATTACTGGTGACTCAACTGACCTAATACGATGGATGGAGTTAGACCAAGCGAATATTATGCCTTAATTTTTGTTTATTGTAAACGTAAAGATACGAATATGTCATTTACGTACATTTTATAAACATTTCTTCATTGATCAACAGCATTCGCAATGTTTTTAAGTATACATCTTAACATAATTAAGGCCGCCTATTGTTGCCTCTTTATTTTGCTTTTATGTAATTAAATATCAATTTTGTTTGTGTATATTGTCAATCTGTATAATTTTTTAAAGGGAATAATAAATAATTTTCGTTCATTTATTATTATTACCAGAGGGAGACTTTGTACAAAAGTCGATTGCTTGGGTACCTTTGTCCCATTCGTGTTTCAACCGTGAAACAGTTGTGTTTGCATGGCTGTGTTTCGGTTTGAAGGGTGGGATATGGCGTGAATTTACTGGGTACAGGGGAATAACACCTGAGTCCTCAGGAATGGCAACGCATGGGGGGCATCATGGGTGAAACAGTATACTCTGTTATGTCCATGGTACTGCTCATGTCTATAGGCGACGGTTACCACTTTCCATCAGGTGGGCCGTCAGCTTATTTGCCATTCTAAGTTGTATAAAAAAAAAAGAAAAAAAATTCATTATTCCGTCCAAAAGATTACAGTAGAATACAGGTATTTCTAAATAATTTGTATGTGTTGCTTGTAACATTAAGTTATTTAGTTTTTAAATTAAAATAACTGGTTTTGTAAACGGGTTTAAATCAAAATAACGATCTTTAATTGTATAGTGCATTATGCCCACTTTTCCATCAATTTGTGAGGTTAGATAACTCAGTGGCCGACTATTTGTGGTTTAGTGTACACATGCGATACGCGATTAGATACCGATTCTCACGGCTTGGGGTTTAGACACGGTCACTCTATTTGTGTTAATACCGAAATAATATATTAAATAATAATACTATACCTATTACGTTATTTCCGAAGGGAGTTTTATAGAATTATACGAGCGTTTATACGTTGCAGATAAGTAGTTGTCAATATGCAGAAGATACTAAAACTTTTTTAATATATGAAACCAAAGCTTATTGATGTATGGCGATGTCCAGAGGGAGACTACCTCTGTCCCATTCGTGTTTCTACCGTGAAGCAGTTGTGTTTGCATGGCTATGTTTCGGTTTGAAGAGTGGGATATTGCGTGAATTTACAGGGTACAGAGGAATAACATCTGAGTCCTCAGGAATGGCAACGCATGGGGGGTATCATGGGCGAAACAGTATACTCTGTTATGTCCATGGTACTGCTCATGTCTATAGGCGACGGTTACCACTTTCCATCAGGTGGGCCGTCAGCTTGTTTGCCATTCTACGTTGTATAAAAAAAATGTCGCTATTATATATCAATTAAAAAATTCACAATTTTCAACACAGATTATCAACATCTCAGTAATTAACTGCCCACTACTGTACATAGTCCTTCCTCATAGACTGCCATAAAAAACAGTCCTGAGGAACCTGTACCCACTGATTCCTTGCAATGCATTTGAAATCTAGTAGGGGTCGTCCTACATTGCATTTGATCGTACGGGGTAGTCACTCAAGAAACTTCCCTATCGGTTTTCGATTCTTCGAGCCATGCGACCAACCTTAGCCGCCTTTTATGACACCCACGGGAAAGTAAGGGGTGGCTTATTCTATGCAGGGACCACAAGGCGGGGTGTTGATGTTTTTATTTAATGGATGATAATGGGATAGTAACCCCACCCGCGTTATTGGTACAGCTAGTGGGATAACTAGTGAGAGATGATAGGCGAGGATGAAATGGTACTCCTCATGAGTTGCCATTTCCCAAAAACAAAAAAGGATACCATGGGTATAACAGTATATACTGTGATGTGCATGGCGCTATTCATATCTTTGTGATAGCTGTTTTTTATACCACTGAGGTGGAAATTAAGCATATAGCCCGCCTGATGGATAGTGGTTACCGTAACCTATGAACGCCTACAATACCAGGGGTATTGCACACGTGATGCCGACCCTGAAGAAACCTCTTTAGACCCCTTTTGAAGAACTCCATACTGTAGTCTGTGTTTGCCATGCTAAGCATTATACGGTTGCTTGGTAGAAATAGCTTTTAACGATAAGGCTGCCCATTGTTTTCTCACTGTGATTATTTCATGTAATTGTTTGTATCTATAATAAGTTTACTATTGTAATCTTTTGGAGGAAACAATAAAGAGTATCTATCTATTTATCTATTATAAAGAAAAATTGGTAATCTTAGTTACGAGTACTGTTAACGTTTCCATGTTAATGGCTTAACCATTTACCTACTTAAAAGTTGTATAAACATAAGCATGATTCATACCTGATAATAATTAATGGATAATGCTTATATATGTATGCTTAAACTAAAAAATAGTAGTGGTTTACATATGTCTTAACCGCATTAGTCAAATGGTTTAACAATGTTAAATTTAGCGTATTAACTAAATTATAGTTATAATCATTCGGTATTGTAGTGGTGGTAAACGGTGACGGTCCAGGACATATTTGACTGGGATTCTGTGGTCGTAAGATCGAATCTTAGCCTAAATCACTGAGTTCCTAAAATCAAGTTTGGAACTTTTAAAATTTATGATTGTGTTTCACGGAAAAAAAAAGTGATTTAAAAACTAAACTGTTTTGATAAATTTTGTATGAGGCTAAGTCCTTTAAGATAAAAAATAATTTTCTATATTTGTTTATAACTGATGGAGTTATGAGGTAATAAACATAAGAAAATAATACAATCGGATTAAAAACCTCATCCTTTTTTGAAGTCGGGTCAAATTTTTTTTTTTTATACAACTTAGAATGGCAAACAAGCTGACGGTCTACCTGATGGAAAGTGATAACCGTCACCTATAGACATGAGCACTATCATGGACATACTCGTAATAGAGTATACTTCGCACTTGTTTCGTAAATCGTAGAGCACTTAAATCTATAAATCCGATAAGTTACGTCAGAGTTCTTCGTGTATAATCAACCAATCCATCCGGTCATCTTGACCCGTCGTAGTGATGGATCAGGTAGGAGCCTCGGGACGAACCTCCGGAGTTGAATTCCGGCTTTAATTCCGGAGGCTACAACTTCCGGGTCATTAGGTATAAGCCGACAATGGGTATAATATCGGCGTGGTGTCAGCAGTGTTGGTAATGGTATTACGTAGCGATTATACTTATACGACTAGCTGTTCTTTGCGGTTTTCCGCGGGCGCCTGTGTGCCTAATATAGCCTAATAAATAGATGCCATAATAATAAGTAAATAAATAATCCTGTACCTATCTATAAATAAATAAAATATAAATCTATGTTTACTAAATTTTATTTCTTGCCAAAACAGAATAACACAAAACACAAAGCCAGTGATTGGAAGATATGTACATTAGTTACTTTTTAGGTCGAGAAAAGATTTTGTTTCAATAAAAAAATAACAAACCGAGATTTTTAAGATAGGACTTTATATCTAGATCTTTCTGTAGATGATTATTTCTAACTTCAAAGTTGGGCTATGTAAATTTGTTCGGTAAGCCACTTCTGAGGCCTTCGTATACATAAAAGAACTTCGAAACTCTCTACATTAGAGGACACCACCCTCGATTCTTGATACATTTACTTCCACTATTATTTATTCTGTATCGTTAGGTACGAACACGGTTGTGTTATTCTATTATTCTTTGAAAAGTATCAAAAGATTTTATGTAGATTTAGTTACATACATTTTACTTGGTAAGCATCATATGTATTATAAAATTAGATTTTAATTTTTTTATTATGAAACTGAAAACTATTTATACTTTTATTTATTTATACTTCATTGTACACAAAAAGGCTGTAAAGGCAGGTTGACTTAACTCTGTGTGAGTTTTCTTCCAGCAAACCCTAAGTGGAAAGGAAATACGTACATACAATAAGAAGAGGAAACAGTATGGGTGTTACTACTGAGAAATAATAACTTATTTACTGTGATTATTTCTTGCAATTGTTTGTATCTATAATAAGTTCACTATTGTAATCTTATGGAGGAAATCTATTTATCTATCTATTTAATTATCGTGATGAGTTAATCGAGCAAATTTCATTGATTCTTTTTGAAAAAAAAAAACGGTAACACTGTTAATGGGTATCAACGGTACATTTATCCAATGCTACTTTGTCTTCAACGTAATCTTGACGTAATATGGGCATGCGGAGTGTGTTACATTACTCACAACTAAGTTGCCAAATACTGACTAACCCCATTAGGAATTGCAACCGTGAACATATTTAATGTATTATAACTTTTATAATAGTACTTACCTATTCAAGGTTATGAGGGCAATGCTCAGGAGAGATACTCCAACGTTTCCGTACCGCAAGAACGGTACCAGCTTGCACAGCACACCCCCATGAGACCAGGTTCGAGTCCAGAAGCCCGATATGGCGAACGGTAACACCATTGCACAGAATAGGAAGTCCGCTATGCAAAGACTGGAACAAATAATTTATTATAAGTATAGATAGGTTGGTTTGTCTGTTGTGACTGCATTATTGAACTTTTATCATCATCATAATCATTATTTCAGCCATTATCCGTCCACTGCTGGACATAAGCCTCACCCATAGATTGCCACAAAGAACGGTCCTGAGTCAACTGCACCCACTGACTTCCTGCAATGCATTTGAGGTCGTCACTCCATGTAGTGGAGGGTCGTCCTACACTGCGTCTACCCGTATCGTATCGCCACTTACACGAAAGAAAGGTTCTTTGTTCCCCGTAGGATGTCGGTTTTTCGAGCTATATGATCAGTCTATTGCTACTTTATTATTATTATAATTGACCTTTATTAACCACTAAGTTTTATCGAGAAACTCGTCATTTTAAAAGTCGGTTGAAAACACCGTCACTGCAGTGTGCAGCGTGTTGTAGTCAATTGTATATAATCTTATGCAATGATATGCAACGTAATTGCTACATTGCATACCAATGCAATATGTAATAAAGAATACCGACATTATGACTGTTCATCGCATGGGTATTATACAGTCATTTTGAAGTGACTTAAGAAAACTGTATTGTTCATTGTATGTTTCTGACCTTGAAGTTGGTAAAATTATAGACTCAGAGTTGTGACGAATATTATTATTAAAGAAAGAAGAAGAAGAAGAAAATAACTTCATATTTATTATTATTATAATTTGTCTTTGACAACATTTAATATGAATGTAATCACAGTGAGCATTAGATATTTACAATTACATTTATACGGTTGGCCGTATGCAGAAGTTTCAAGTTGCTCAGCGAGCTATAGAGAGGGCTATCCTCAGAGTATCATTGCATGATATATAATAAAATAACTCCATGTTTTTAACCTTTGCTTTGTTTTATTGTATTGTGTTATTATATATTACTAGAGAAACTTTGTAAAAAAGTCGACTACATTGACGCCTCTATCACATCTGTGTTTTTGTCACGAAATTGCTGTGTTTTGGTTTGAAGGGTGTCATATGGCAAATTATAAAGTACGGAGTTTTTAATCCTTCTGGAATGGTTGCGTGTGAGAAGTATAATGGTCATTGCGATTTATTTTACCTTTTTGATACCTATGGTGCTGTTTATGTCTATAGGCAGTGCTATATCAGATGGATCGTCAGCTTGTTTGCCATTCTAAGCATCATAAAGAAAAACTGTGTCATCAAAAAACTGGAAATTCTCTTTCGGCAGCTGTGAGCTGAGATTATTTTAACACGGATTCTTTCAAAGCTAGAGTGAATAGGTATTATTTGAGTTTGTGTGTAGTAATACTTTAGACTTCATGGTCACTTAAAATCAGGAGAGAATTTAAATATAAAAAAAGTCAAATGAAATTATTACTAGTATGTTACTATGCCAATTGCTTCGTGAAGCGATCGTGAGCTAATTCTTTGAACATTGTACAATATTGTTCGTAAATGTAGCGACATAATGCTCTTAGCACATCAATGTTAACGTTATTTTATCTCTTGGTCTATTCTCTTTGTTCGTTTGGTGTTCCTTAATATAACAATGAATAGTGAACAGATTAAGTAAAAAAAAAGAAATTAAAGAGAAACTCTTTTGCCTTTTTTGATGATGCAAATATCTTTACAAACTTTCACATTTACAATACGATATTAAAAAAAAGTCTCCACATAATTTCTCTGGTGCGATGCGATTTGAACAAAATTTGGTATGAAGGTGAATCGTATCTAAGGCTAACATTTTAAGAACTAATAGAATACATTTTATTCTAATAGTATTCAGTATCTTTAATAAATTTATCATAATAGAATTTATGTACATACATATGAGTAAACAGTATTAAAATAAATATATCCCCGATATTATGACCTGGATATATTTATAAATAAATGGGTGATTTTCTACAAATGCGATCTCTACCCAACTTTAGTCAACCCTTTTAAAATCGAGTCCCCAGAAATTCTTATTTTAACTTTCTTTCAATAAATTAAAAGTCCAATGAATTAAGACAGAAATAACATTAGATGAAATCACCCAAACATATAAGTAAAAGGCATAAAGAAAGTTTATATAAGTTAAAAGATTGTATACCTGATAATAAAGGCCGCGGCAACATTCCGCACTTTTGGACATTTGAGAAGAGCGACCACAGTGAGCAGGTTACCAAAGAGGCCAATCATCATGATGAAGCCGGTCACTATAGCAGCAAACGTTAGGAGACCTGGCGAGAATCTGAAAAGGGAAAAATAAGTAATAATAATAAATAGTTGTCGAATAAACAGAGTTTGTATGTGTTTACATGACTGACCAAAAAGGTATGTAATGTTTTCAACGTCAGTAAATGTAAGATTTCTTATTACACCATAACCTCTAAGTATCTGGATAAATTTGAATGATTTACCGTTATAATCATTACACTGTCTAAAATAATACCGACTGTAATTTTTTTTAAATAGGTTTGTAGGCAATTTTTTTTTAATTTATGAAGCAAAGTATTTCAAACCGTTCTTTAATTGGATGATAATGGAATGGTAAGCATTGCGAAGTTATTGTATTGTTGCACGATTGTTAGAAGTAGGGACTTAAGTCGTCCTTCATATGATCCCCTGTAATCTATCGTGGTTATATTACTTGTGAATTCACCACGATGGGCTAACACATTTAATTGCTTTATAAATTATACTTCTTATTTCAATTTTGATTCTTCATATATTTAAATATTTACACACTGAAAATCTTTAAAGTTTATGTCTCGTAGGTACATTGCCTACAAAATGTTTCGTAAATAGCTCTTTTTTTTGGAGTGAGCGGTAGGTATTTAGTAAATATTTTTATTAAGCGATCTCCATATTTGCAAGTCATTTATGATTGAAACAAAGAATTCTCTCTAATAACTGTAATGTAATAAATACTACTACTAATATTATTATTTCGTCAACTGTTATACAGAAATGAGTTACAGAGCGTTTCACCGTGAAAATCTTTTGTAGTCAGTTCTTTGACGTCGCGTACTAAAATTTAGTTGTGCACGAAGACGGAAATTTTGTTGTGACACAAAACAGTTCATTAAAACATTCTTTAGACTGTCACCGTAATGAATTGTAAATTTTCTCTGTACATTTTAAATAGGTAGATAAAATAAAATGTGCAATAATGTCCTATAATAATAAAGTTTCTTTTTCTAAAATCAGTGTGAAGTGTGTGTGTGTGTGTGTAGTCACGCATAGAATTAGTCGCTCCTTCCTTTCCCGTGGGTATCGTAATAGGCGACTAAGGTAACTTAACGGTGGAGCATCCCTCTTAAAATATCACTAAAGTCTAACCCCGGATGTCAACCCGCCTGTCAAGCGTAGCAACTACTGGCAAAACCCCCCTTTTGGTGGGAGTGCTATATTCAACAATAAACAGTTAATGGCTGATATGTAAACGTACAAATTTATAGACGATTGTAAAATACAATCAAAACATCCTGACATAAATATTCATTCGAGCGCCTTCTAATTGTTCTCAAGCACGTCAAAGGGACTATTTTCAAGTTCCGTTGAGGAGAAGAGAGCTAGCAAAACAAACTTTTCTTTCACTAGCGCTCACTGTACTCAATAGTGTCATGAGTCAGTATCCAGATATATTTATTAGTAAACGTGTAGAGTTTTGCAGAATGGCAATAAATTATTCAGAAAGTGTCTAATAATTAAATTTGATTATGTTTGTTTATATTGTGATTGCTAAGGGAGTGAATAGGAAAACTATTAAGCTTCCTTAGTCGGCATAATAAATAAATAAAATATTGAGAAATTGGTGTTTTTGTAAAATTATAAAAAATTTCTAAATGTAAAAATTCTTAAAGATGTTGGATGTTTTTACTCTATCACGATCAAATGGTTGAACGAATTTGAATGTTTGGCATATGAGTAGATTATATCCTAATTTAATACATGGAGTACTTTATAATTGTATACTGATGTACGCGGGCAAAGTCGCGGGGAACAACCAGTCATTTATAAAGATCAAGTTAGTATCTCCACTATTGTATGCATACCATTTGTGTTGACTTAGTACCTAACAATATAAAGTATCACCATTCCATCATCTTTTGTATGAGGCAACTATGAAAATGGAGCGTAAAATACCAGCATAAGAAAAAGGAAACTTATAATAAAACACTTTACTGAACGGTTTGACCAGCATGGTAATTACTTTTTATTATTTTTTTGTCATTTTTCGACTCACGTTTCTTTGGGAAAAATGTTCAATTTCATTAGTAGTAGTAAAAGAAGTTTCACAATACGAGATTTCGTAAATATTTCTTTTTATGCAATGCAATGCAAGAATAGCAAACAAGAAAGAGGTAAACGTGGCCTATAGACATGAACAGCATTACAGAAATCACAAAATACAGTGTTCATATGTATGGGACTTCAATACCGTTTCCAATAAAAAATAAATATTTGCTGATAACACAATCAAAAAATATTCTTATAATAGTTTTTTTAGTAGCTAATTTTATTTGCCCACTTATATCTGCAATCAGTTAAACACTGTTGAAAGCAGATGTGTTATTTGCAATTAATAATGAAAGCATGCTTCCCAATGAGAACATCTATTCACAAAAAACTTTAATAATAATAATATAATTTATTTGCTGAAAAACACAGTATACAGATGTTAGTAATAATATGTTAGGAACAGGCGTCTTTTGGCAAAACAATGGCATGCAAAATTTTAATATTTATGGTAACTTCTTTTCAAATACTATTAACAAAATATTATTTATGTGCTTATAAAGTGGAATTATTCTTTAGTCCAACAAGTCCTTAATTTTTAATTAATTTATTTAGTCCTTTAATTCCTGAATGTTTTATCGTTTTAAATCATGTCACAGCTAAATTTGGAATTGTAATTGACACAAATATCGGAGATCTTGTATCACTACTGTATAATTTGTACCTATCAACATCATTTCGATAGCTTTCTATATGAGAGACTAATTGGCAATTTCTTCCAATATAACTAAGTGAAAAGAAATCGAAAGACAATTTCAATGGAAATTCTTCTTTTGAAGTAATATTAGAAATTCACTCGACAGGCTCAATTAGGGATATGAAATCGAGTAAGTACTTTCAGAATGGAGAACATATATAGAAATGTTGTTCGCATTTACTATAAGTAAATATTAATAAAATGTTAACCAGAGGGAGACTTTGTATAAAAGTCGATTGCTTGGGTACCTCTGTTCCATTTTTGTTTTTACCGTGAAGCAGTTGTGTTTACATGGCTGTGTTTCGGTTTGAAGTATGGGATATGGCGTGAATTTACAGGATACAGAGGAATAACACCTGAGTCCTCAGGAATGACAACACATAGGGGGTATTATGGGCGAAACAGTATACTCTGTTATGTCCATGGTACTGCTCATGTCTGTAGGTGACGGTTACCACTTTCCATCAGGTGGGCCGTCAGCTTGTTTGCCAGTCTAAGTTGTATAAAAAAAAAATATGACTGGTTTTTATATGAGACTACGGTCGCGGACCTATAGGTCTACTATGAAGTGAAATTTTGAGGTTTCGGACTCAATTATGTGTTTTTATTCATACCTTAATCGACCCAGTAAATTAACAGGGGCTTAACATTTTGATCGTCATAAATCCTACCATAAAAATCTAAAGGAACGATATTTCTACATATTTAATGTTTTTAAACAGTATTTTTCTTGTAATTTGAACATCAAATTTTTGTTTCGTTTCGCTTCGAAATTTCTTGATACATTATATGGTGAGTCTTCTTTACCTATAAGTATATTACATAAATAGACCAGGTTAAAAAATAGCCTATGTCTATTTTCATCACAAATAATATATGAAATTATATTCCAACGTCTATTATATGATTGAAAAGTGAAACTCGCCCGTATTTAATATTTCAATTACACAATAATTATAAATGAATTACTTCATTTAATCTTCGCCAATATGTAACTGACGTAGTTTGCGGTTTGTTGATGCATATATTGTACACATACAACATTTAGGAACTAGTTATAATTACATGTTAGATAATAGTACAGTGTAATTACCAATTAGGTTACCCACAGTACCTTTGAAGTTAACGTTATTAGGTGACGTGAAAGTGTAAATTGATATCTAGCTAAGCTTTAATTATATTAAGGATTAAACGGAGTTATGTTAGTGCCTTATCCAGTAGTTAGTGTCTTATTAATTTAGTGTCTTCAATTTAAATATAGTTTCACAGACATACAGGATGAGTCGATAAGGGTGTACCAAGTCATAACTTAGTAATCATAATACTGAACAATATCCCCTTAGGGATAATTTAAAACTTATAAAATATTATTTAAAAAATTTTTAATACATTTAAATTTATTTAACTGCGGTTACCAACCCGCCTGTCAAATCCATGGAATACTTGATCTTTAACTGTGATTCATTGGCAAGTTTGCATATGAAACTACTAACTAACTACTGGGAACGGCTTACCTAGAGGACTACAGATATCTTAAACCGTAGGATATCGTTAAGGTAACACATAGGATCTACGAAATGATGGTATAAGACAGGGGAAAGCACAAAAGATCCTGATAGGTTGACGTGCAACGGCTTAGCTGACCCCATATATGAACATATGATAAAATAACCCGCCTGCCAAGCGTGACAAGAACTGGCAAGACTCCCCTTTATGGCCTGCCCATGTTTAGCAATGGACAGTTAATGGCTGATATGATGATGATTTAAAATTTCATTAATTGAATAAATTTGCATACTGTGCGGTTTCAGAGATGTTTCCTCCCACGAACACTCAGATTGTGGAATGAGCTCCCTGCCGAGGTTTTCCCAAGAGACTACAGCATGGGTTTCTTCACGCACGCACGCGTAAACCTCTGGTATTGCAGGTGTTCATAGGCTACGGTAACCACTTACCATCAGGTGGGCCGTATGCTTGTTTGCCACCTCAGTGGTATAAAAAAAACCCTATAAATGAAAAACTGATGTAGATAGATCAGATAATCTTGATCTACTTTCAGATGAGGATTACCTATTAAAAAAAATCTTATGGTTTAGTAAGATTTTGGTCTGTCTATAGAATACGGCGATATGAGTTATAGGTATGCATTAAAAATAATGGTCTAAAATAAAGTTTGTAAGAACAGAGACTAAAATAACGTTTGAAAGAACAGAGACATTTTGAATTTCTTGTTAATAGTTTATTTAATTGAAGCTCTTGTTAATAGTTTAATCAATAAAAAAAATATTAACTGAATGTGTTAACTGTGACTAAGATATTATATACTATTAAATATTAATCAAAGATGATATCTCACAAAAAAAAAACTGGCTTCAATTGTGACGAAACCAATTATTTTGGTATTAAAACTAAATTACAGAACTGATTTTCATAAATTTCTATTGAACCAAGTAAGTATTACATTTAAAAAAAGAATTTTTCCAAATCGGTTTAGAACTGACAGAGTTATGAGGAACATTAAAAAATACAATCGAATTCAGAACCTCTTACTTACTGAAGTAGGTTGAAAATCATAAATATTGCAAGTAACGGTAGACAATAACATAAAAAGGGCCAAATTACAAATTTCTAATTTAGTCGTTAAAGTAATTATTACAAAGGAAAACATGAAAAAGGGATACGTAGAGAGAGGAAGACCGGGATAAATTATTCTAGTAGCTCCGGTAATATTACCGGTTAGCAATGATTTAGACGAAGCCTTTGTAACCGAATAAAGAGGATGAATAGCGTTTAATGCAGACCTCTGAATGGGAACGGCACAAAAGCGCTCAGGATGTTGTATGAAAGGTTTTTCGACTTGGCCCACGATAATAGTCCGGTGTATTTATAACTGAAGTATTCGCGTCTAAAACAAAAATTTATGAAGACATTTCAAAAGATGTCGGAAATACAAGTTCCTGTTGAAAATAAATGGCATCTTCTGCAGACGGTATTCAATAGCGCCGGGAATCAAGTCTGGATTCTCAGTAAAGCTTTACTTGGAATATCTCCGTATCTTGGAATAAATATATTAGAAAGAATGCTATATATTATCTTGTTTTATTTATTCTACTACAAGAGTAACTTAATGGATATAACACAAAATGCACGCAAGATGACCATATTTTGGGTTACAAATATCTAAGCGTTTAATTGCCGTAGGTTTTCAAAGAAGCATTAAAAAATCTGTGCCTATCTTAACCTTAACATTAAAAAAAACCTAATATAATTTTAGAGACTTTTTGTTAATATGACAGTCCTATTATTTTAAACTCTGTACTACGGGAAGAAAAGAATTGTTAGCAATGAGGTCTAACTGCCCTATTGCTAGCAATATATCTTATATTGCTAGCAATGAGACTATAAGGTTGACTTCTACGTGATTTCTCTGGAAACGATCGTGAATGAATGAATGAATATACTTTATTTGCATTATACAATATAAGAAATAAATAAGACAATTAACTAATGTACAGTTGTATAAGTACAGTAAGGCAGTCTTATTGTTGAAAGACATTTTACTAAGAAGTTAATGAGATTACTTATTAAATAATGTTATAAATATTAGTCATTTTGTTGGATGGCCAATATTTATATTTCTATATTATTTCGATGTAATTTTAGGTCTATAAATCACGAAAGCAATATATTTTTAGCATTTTATATACGTCATATATATATATATTTTTATAAGATTTCCAAAGAAAGTAATCTGGATAGTAAACAAGAAAATATTAATAATGAATGGGAGTCTATGTTATTATATTTATAATATTATTTTATTTATAAACGACTTACTTTGATAGTTCACTCGGTCCCATTACTGGATCTACGTCGTTGGTGTTGTTCATAATACTGTCAAATGTGGCCATTTTGAAATCTGGAACAATAAACATGTTTTATGTAATAATAATAAGGAATATTTAGGCATATAATTAACTACAATTACAAGATTTAATAACACTTTGTTACTGAATCGTTCATTTGAAGCACAAAACGAAATCGTTCTTTATTGGAGAAGTAATAGTCAACAAGATTAATTAATATTTATATAATAAATCTATGTTTTAACAATTTTAATACAAAATTTTTGCGTGCTACTTCGTAAGAAAAGTAATGAAATAAAACTACTTCTAGATGGCATCTCAAGATAAAACATATATCAGATTTGAAGTCAGATCTTAAAGGACACAATTGCATCCACTTTTTGCATGACGCCAGAACAAAATACAGACAGACAAATAAAATTACTAAAAACATTTTTTGTCCCTCTATTATCTATTCCATAAATTATAACGGTTCATATTTAAATTTAATGCTTTTTTATACATAAATTTTATTTATGTCTGATTAAACTTCAATAAAATTTTTATTTACAATTTTGTACAAATATGTACAAGTAGGTACTTAAATAAAAATGTAATAAATTTTATACATTATATACGTACTTATTTTATATAAAATAAAAGAAGTATCACATATTATGCGTGATACTTAAAGTAAATTATTATAAAGTGAAATTAAGTAAAAATGTTTCTTTATGAAAATGAAATTATATATGTATAATTTGATATATAAAGTATTGTATGTTTCAAGTAAGAATATGATTTATTCGATTACCAAATCTGTTTAAGCGTGATTGAGTTATAAACAAACATAGAAACTTTTTAATGTTTTTTCAAACTTTCACGTTTATAATATCAATAGGACAGACGACTTAATTACGTTGGCACAAGGTCTAAGGTTACGGAAATAATTTAAAATGACCCCAGCAATTGCAATTGACCAAGTCATACTAGACTGGTCATCAGAGTGCAGAAACAAATGGGAGTTAGAGGAAAATAAGTATTTCAGTCCATATGGAAACTAAATGTGACGTATTTTTTAAATTACTCAAAAAGCTATTTCAAATAAATATTACTTACTATCTGTATCCCGTGGTCTTGCCCATGTGAAACGGTATATAAAGTATTTTTTGCACTATTTTGTACTATCTACCCGTGCACTTAATTTTATTCAAATCTCTTCAGTATTTGTGTGAAACATCCATCCATTATTACAACTTTCGCTTTTATTATATTAATAGAATTGTACTATGTATTTTTGTTAATAATCTAAAATTTTATTATTTAAGAATGTAAGAATTTCACAGCAAATATTATTCGATTAACGGCAGGCAGGGGAGCATATTTGTGAAAATGGAATGACAACTTTGCCTGTGCTAACGAAATACGATGGGAGGGGGGTACCAGTGAAGAGTGATACATAAAAATGAAAACAGATCAGTTAAATGATAACAAATTCTTCAGGAATTAGCCACGATAGTTACCATCGGAGACTGCATGGAGGTCGACCTGGCTGAGTATATAATCCCTGCAGGCGAGGAGAAGGGATTTTTAATAATAGGGTCTAACTGACCCATTGGTAGCAATATACCCTATCAGGTCGACCTCTTCGAAGTTCCCCCTAGAAACCATCGTGGTTAATTTCTTTTATCGCGGAGACTATTTCATTTTCACCTATTAAAAAAAATCCCTGCAGGCTACATATGTGTAATCAAGCACTGTTAGTAATATATATTCAGGAATTTCGTTTCAACATTATTATAGTACCTATTTATTTGGTGAAGCCGATCGCAATTATATCGCCAGTGCCCACTGGTACGGAACACGTTTTTTGTCCAACGATTGTACGCATCAGCGATGTGTGACCTCAGTACGAGGTGCGGTCAATTATTATTGTGCTGTGCTGGAAATATGATCGAATTTATAGGTGGATCATTGAGGTTATGCAATGTGGAATGTTTATATTACATTGAAAAACCTAATATCCTATATGTGACAGAACTTGAACGTGCAATTCGCCGTTATAATCCGAATGCGTTCCCATTTTGTTAATGAAAGAATTACTACTATTTTTTTTTTTTATAAATGACAATGGAATGGTAACCCCACTCGCGCTATCGGTATACACCGGCGGGGCGCCTGTGAAAGATGATGGGTGAGTATGAAGCAGGTCAGTTAGCCCATTGTGACGAATTCAACATGGATTGTTCACGATGGTTTCCAGGGGGAACCACGTGGAGGTCGACCTAATAGGGCTAGCAATGGGGCTGTCAAACTCCATTGCTAACATACCCTTTCCCCCCAATTACTACTATTGTTACTACTAGTAACTAGTGAAAATAGAGCCCCTTCATATCAAAAGTTTCTAGATCGCATTAACTTTACACGAAAAATAAACTAATAATGTATCTAAGAATGAAGCACGGTCAAATTTTGTAATTGTTATAATAAAAAATATTTTCTTCATCATCATCATATCAGTTTTTCACTGTTTATTGCTGACGCATACCACGGGGGGAGGGGGGGGGATTGCCAGTAGTTTGTATTATTATTATTTTATATATATATTATTATATATTTTATATTAAGACTGATAACCGCAGTTAGGCTTTGGAGATGTTGTAAGAGAGATACTGCTGCCCATCTCTCGCCCTCTCTTTGTCGCCTCTTACAACACGCACGGGAAAGGAAGGACCTATTCTATGCCGGGACTATACGGGAACAATCTATATTAGTATGTATCAATTAGACGTCGGTAGTAGGTGTTTAATCTTATTGATGCTATTAATATAACAAATGCTAAAGATGGATGGATGGATAGATGTGGATGACTATTTAAAAGTGCTTTTAAGCAAGTCTGTTTAAATAAAATTTAAATTTAATGGATGTTTGCTTCTCTTTCATGTAAAAACTACTAAACGCATTTCAATAAAATTTGGTACATAGCTAGGATATATCCTAACTTAGCAAATACAAATACAAAATACAAATAGCTTTATTTCGTTTGAAAAGTGGTATAAAGGAGTGGTATATAATATTTAAATATTGTTCACACTTTTCACCAGAATCTGGCGTACAAAATTTATTTCATTGTGCCACTATGCTATGCTATTACTATTTTACTTATATCCTAATATTATATAAATGTCAACATATTCACGTATTAATAATAAATAATATAGGTTACAAATTACAATCAATTATATCTATCTATCCATTTAAGAGCTGCGCTCTTGTCGGTGGAGCTCTTGCCACTCACTACGATCTTCAGCGAGTCTCTTCACCTCTTGATACGACACGACACCAACTCCTTCCTTGATCTGCCTGATGTAACTATGTCTCGGTCTCCCTCTCCCCCTTTTTCCTTCTATCTTACCTTCTATTATAATGTTCATAAGTTCGTCGTGTCGAATCAAGTGTCTTAACATTTTTCCCCTTCTGTCCTCAATAGTTCTAATAATTTGTCTTTCTTCCTTAACCCTAAGCAGGATCTCCTCATTGCTAATTCGATCCCTCCAGCTACAATCAATTATATGGAATATTTTATATACTGATTCACATTGGTAAAACTTCGGGATACAGTTAGTTTAAAAATTAATTTAAATTAATAAATTAATCATTATGTTTAAATATTTCTGTCGCTCTGCTGCTGTCTGCTTGTGTCCCTGTCGCCGAGCAGTTGTACTTGTATGACTGTATTTCAATTTGAAGCGCCCACTCGTAGCTAGTAATTTCACTGTCATAACCCAAAATAGCAGCGAAATTACAGGATACAGAAGCATAAAGTCTTTGTTCTCTTATTGAAGAGTATTATTTAAATAATTATTTAGAATAATAGATATTGTTTGTCTTTATTAATTAGTAGATATTCTAGTCGTTATTGCGGACGCTCTCAAATTTCGTGCGAATAGAATTTGGGTCAAACTGTCAATAAGTTTGTCAGCCGAATAACGTCCTATGAACTTGAACGTTTGGGAAAAACCAATTTCATTATATTGGATTTTTATTCAATTTGACGCTTTGCTTTTAATAGTATAGTAGGTAACTTTATGTAAATTTCGTTTCTGAAAATAAGGTTCGAAGCTGGCGTTAGCGTGAAGGGTTTACGGGACCAAGCGGGTCGGTCGTTCTATGTCACTTATTTAACACAACAAAAATGTTATAACCATATATCTGTTTTTAAGCGACATCTCGAAGAAGGTTCTCGATTCACCATGCTTGCTATATTATGCAACTATGACTACGTGGGGGGAGGGAAGGGATTGTTAGTAATGTAAACTATCAGTCCCATTTCTAGCAATATACTGTATCAGATCGACCTCCACGTGGTTCCCCCTGGAAACCGTCATGCTGAATTCCAGGTGTAGCCCATCCTGATGATTTCCAGTCATCACGATGGGCTAACTGACCTGCCGTTTCATCCTCACTTATCACCCTTTACTGGTACCCCGCTAGCGTATACCGTTAGCGCAGGCGGGGTTACTATTCCATTTTCATTCATTAAAAAAAAAAAACTATCATTACGTGGACATTTTTCTAAACAGATTTTACAATTCTTTTCTCAATAAGTTCACTCCCGTGTTGGTCCCATTTTAAATTGGTTTTTAAAATTGACTTTGGAACGAATAATGTAGCTCTTTCTCTTTGTAGAACAGAAAAAATGTTTAGTACGAAGGAAAATATTTGTGCAAACACGCGCTACCATATTATAAATTAAATATAATTTTCAACTACAAAATATCTACGAATTGAAGTTGCTTTTTTTGTAGAGTAATTTATACTTGTCATTTAAATATACCTATAAAAAAATTCACGTTTTAGGAACCAGACATTTTTATCAAAGGTCGGCTTTAGTGGCTTAGGACATAAAGGGGGCTGTGCGACAGGCGATCTACTTTTTGCTTATCTGCTGGGTTAGTTAAAATGGGTGGTTAATAGGGTTGGCAGTTCCTTCCGAAAAAGATCGATTTCTGAATCGATTCGAATCATAATCTTAAGAAATTACTATTTATGAATCGTTTTCATAAAAAATCGG